TCTATATTTTCTGAACCGTAGTTGTGGCCGTTTTCTGGTGTGAAGCACAATGAAGCACTAAGAACTTTGCATGGTGACGTCATTTGTGCTTCATATCAGTGGCTAACTTCCTGGACCCGCTGAAAATGGCTGTGTTCCCCTCCCCCTTCGGAAATCATTGTTAAAAAAGGCCCCGCAAAAATATTTCGCTCCAGGCCTCGCATTTGCTAAGGACGGCTCTGTCTGTAGCAGCTCTGATGGTTTACTTCATTCTGTATACGTATATACATGGTGTGCAATACTGTAGGTACCTAAAATTAAAAGTTGAAGCAATCCAAAATGTTGTGCAGAAATGAAGCAAATTTAACAAAAAATATCATAATAAATAAAAAATTAAACCTTGAAACAAAGCACAATATTTGTACATTTCTTGGGAAAATGAATGGTTTCTAAGAAAAGAAATCTACATCCTTCAAAGGATACACAAACACAAATATTGACAGCCTCTCAAAGAGGTTTGCATGCTCCTTTCACAAACAGACATTACTTTGGCAACCTGCACGACATTCAAAACCGAAACAAGTTTCCGTAACGAATCAATTTGTCATGTTGTGGTCATTGGTATGGTCATTTAAGAAATTCGACCAAAACTGTGGTTAATTGAGTAAAAACCTATGAAGAACGGTCAGTAACCTTAAGGGGGTATTATGGCTAAACTTAGGGTCATCGAACAAATTATGGCTTTATTTATTTATTGCGGTCCTGCAATAAATGTATTTACTAGGTGGATTGCACTTTAAAAATGGTGTACCCGCACTGAAAGAAAAAGGCAAATTTCGTTGCGGCAAGTGCGGATATGTCGTAAAATAAGGGCTAATAATGCGTTTTTAAGATTTGGAAATTTCTACTGGGCACGTTGAACTTAGATTAGTGCGGCGGACGACGCTTTGAAGTTTGTCTATTTTGCAAACTTTCGGCAGAGGCACGCGCATCATTTGCACACAAAATGTTTTTCTTCTTTTGCTCGCTATGAGCAAAATTATTCTCTAGAGAGAAAACGACGACGAAATGAAAACTAAATTACGAACAGATGCGCTATTAGGTAGTGTCGACTTCTTTCTGAGCTTTTGACACGAAATTTTGGGAAGAGGGATGCTCATCACTAGTTTGGGCAAAGACACGTTAATCAGAGCAAAACGCATGTAATAATAAATAGTTTAAAAAAGAGAATTAATTCGTATTCGTAATAAACTGACGATGTTCTCCCAGATACATTTCCACCCTCTATCTACATATTAATAGAGGGCCGATGACGCAAACCGTGTAGGTAATAAATCAGCAATGTATCATTTATAATTGGTATTGATTTTCTATTAGCGTATATCCGTAGCGTTACCATAATCCTATCTTATATCTATTACAATGTTGACTGCATTTACAGCGCAGGATTAATACAATAGGGAATAGAAACAATTTGTCACGCTCTTCCATTGTTCCACCCTCGAATGATAACACATTTATCTACATTACGGGCATACCTTCCATTGGATGGCTATACGAGAGCGGTGCAGCATCTGTTTTTATTTTATTTTTCATTTTTATGTATATGACAAGTAATTACGTACGGGTGTGAATAAGAAACAATGCGAGAATCTTGTCGAACGTTTAGAGGCGCCGTTATTTTCCGCACTCATTGTTTGCAAACGGCAATTAAACCCAATAAATAAGGTAAATTGACCAACCGCACCCATTCGTCAAACACTACAAAGTCGATTTAATAATGCGAGAATAACTAAACTCCACAAATCGGTTGCAGCTAATGGACCAATTTATCGTGTATAGTGGGTGGTTGCGGTTGCATCTGTCATCGGACGTTAGTGCCGATTGTAATTACTGCAAATCTGTAAATCACCCCATATACCTACTACTGGACACTGTCCATTCAATTATTCTGGTACACTGGTTGACTTAAAAGGTCAACGTCAATGAAATTAATTTAATGACGCCCATTTGGATAATGCTATTTACCTACAAAGAAAATATGTGGCACAGCTACAGACACTTTTTATTTACAATAAGGGGATCTAACGTCTAGAACTTTTTAAACAAAATTTCAATTTTTAATTTCTAAGATTTTGCAGCAGCATTCGATTAAAAAACAAAATGTGTTATGAAAATGTTTAGTGTTGTACTAAATTGTGCTGATCCAATTTTAATTTGTGCTGATCTGGAAAATCAGTTTTCCTTGAATTAACACACAGTAGACAATTTGACTCTCAACCACTCGCTTTAACGTAATGTTGGCCGCCATTTTGGCTCCAGTTTTTTTTAAACGAGAATCGCCTATTAAAGAAAAGAAATGTAGGTACTTCAAACATTTACCGAAATTTGATGTGCAAACAGTAATGGTCCTAGTATTGTGCCTTGCGGGACACCAGAGCGGAATCGATCGCTGATTATTACTAATATTAATAGTTTATGGTTATCAGTTGCACTAAAAATATATTCAGTTACATTTAACAGTACAGCTGTACTCACTTCTGAATCCAGATTGCGTAATTGCCTAATTGGAATATATCAAACAAACATATTTGTATTTATATGGCCACTAATGTTGTATAACGCCTACCCCGGCGAACCTCTTATTATGGGTACCTGACATTTCCTCCATATAATACCATTACAGTGTTCACATTTCAAATCCTTTGAGATTTTGTGAGGCACTTCTAGGACATGGTGGTGACGTGTGGCAAAATCACACTGTGCACATTTTAAATATTTGGTAGTATGTCTACTTAAGTTTGATTTCTCGTTCGTTGCATAATTACACTGTACAGATTTTAAATGTGTTGGAGACTGCTGTATTAAGAGATGCCATTTCAGAACATAGGTATTGAAGATTTGTTGCAAAATTGCAATGTGTACACAAATTTTGAAGTAAGTGCCAAGCGTTGATTGGTCATTGTTACACACTACCACGTGATTTACAGTTCGACAATTCAAAAAATCAAAGATCATGAAAATCAATCCAGTCGACATTTTTTTAAAGAAACTTTTTATGGTCTACAAAATTATAAAGGTTTAAAAAAGTGCCCTCTTAGTTCTGTAGACGGTTGCCCCACGCTGTAAATAATTTTTAAGCATGTATCTCTTTTCTTAAATTTTTTTAATGATTTTTAATACCTACATTTCTTTGACATAACTAACAAAAGAATAATCTTTCTCTTAAATTTGATTATTATTATTAATTAATTATGTTTTTTATGCTGTTATATATCCAAAAAAGAGTACTCTTTAATAATATGTAATGAAAACTAGTAGGCCATTAAAAAAAATAGGCTTATCTTCACTATGCAGAAGTACGCCACTGGCCACAATTTTAAAGTACGTAGATTGGTAGCAAACTTTGGGATACTATAAAACGCTTCTTAAAAAATGGTATTTTGAAGATATATTCAGTGCTCCAGACAACATTTTGGCCATGTATTTACACAGGCCCGTAGCAGGGGTGGTCGGTAATTTTCTAGGTGGGGCTTAAGCCTTTTAGATAAAGACTTCCCGTGTAATTTTTGTAAAGGAATCATCAACCGTAATTTCCAGTGGGGGCAAGACCAGGTTTTAGGTGGGCTCACTCCCTGGCTACGGGCTTGTATTTACTGGGCGGTTCAAATTCGTGGCTCACTATTTGGTTCTCCGTAAGGGTGAGAGATACAGTGTGGCAAAGTTGCTCCTTTTTGTGACTAAAAAAATGAATTTTAAAATCTGTGCAAATAATTGAGATATCACCGAAAAACTGAAAATGTTAAATTTAATTTCATTCATTTGGACGGTTCCCGTTGGATCCTTTTATAAGAACTTTTTTGAGAGAATCTGAATCTGTTAGAATTTCCATAACACTCTAGATGTATAAAAGCAGTAGACTACCTACTAGGTACTTTCATACTTCTTATGGAGGCCATATTGGATTTTTACGGAATGAGATAGATGACAAAAAAAGACAGAAAAGACAGATGATGACGTGTATTTTTGTACAGAAATGTACCTACAAGAACAATTTCAAAATCAAATGTTTTACATTCCATTTCTCAACAAAACCTCCACGGGTAACTAGATCTTGTTAAATAGCCTTGTTGGCCATGATGTCTTCTATCTCATTCCGTCATTCCAATATGGCGTCCATAAGCAGGGGCGGACTGGCACGGGGGGGCGGGTGGCGATTGCCACCTGACCTGCCCGTTGGAAATTTATAAGTATGTGCTGTATTTAGTTTCTTGCACTATTAATAAATTATTAACACGTTTCTCTAATTGGGGTTGATGTTAGGTTGTTAAAAAATTCTGTTTTAATTGAAGTGTTTTACAATGACTTTATCATTTTTTGTTGTAGTATTTTGAAAGTGCTGAAATACAATGATAGGCGATGCACCTCGTGTGGATTGTATATTTTGTTACTTTTAATTATCAGCTGCAATTTAAAAAAAAACTGTATGGTAATTTATTTTCGAGAAAGGAGTACTTTAAAATGTTTTTGTGGTGCAGATCAGAGCTAACCCCCCCCCCCCCCCCCACCATCATTACTACACTAATACTTTAATGGCCCGTAACCTATGCAATTCCACCTGGCCCGCAGTTACTACCCAGTCCGCCCCTGTTCATAAGAAAGTACTGAAAGTAGTAGCCTAGTGACCGTAGAATGTACGTTCAAAATTTTCATGTTCAAGGACGGAAATATTAGTGAGTTTCGTAGAAGAGGTACCCCTCGAGCTCAAAATTGAAGTATCTGAGGATTTATCGAGAGTTTCCCCACCCAGGGCCCTTAAAGTCCTTAAAAATCACGCCCGCCTACTTGATTGAATAATTATATAGCAAAATTAAAGAAAGAAAGATTTTGAAGATAGTAGTAACTCACATCTTCTAGCTTGCTCTGCGAATAATTTTTGTACGAAACGACGTAAAGAAAACAAGGTTTATATTACGGCATTTATTTACAACATAAATGACATGTTCTTACAATCACTTTTCAGATCGCCATCGTCAAATAACTTAATAATACTCGCTGTACAAAAAGTAGGTAACTTATTATTTAATAGACTAATACACAACTATACAATTTAATAATTTAACAAACTTAACACATAAAAGGTATCTACGGATTTAAGTTTCCGATTTGTAAGGTTTGAACAGTTTAGGTTTTTCCGGCATGGAGATGCTCGTATGGTGGTCCTTGGCCGCTATGAGTAAACCTTCGGGCGCCGGAGGGCTGAGACTAATATCTGAATGTACCGGTGAGACTCTCGGCGATAATTTCGCGTGGGCGTCCAATTTCATCGACGGGTACGGGGAAAAGTCCAATCCCAAGTTGAGATTGAGCGCTTGAGGTAGGGAGTGTTGAGTTATGGTTTGTGGCATGTTTTGAGGCACGTTAATGTTTTGATTTAGATTTAGGGATGGGTTTGAGAGGGGGATGCCGGTTTGGGGTAGTCCGAATCCTTGGCCCCAGGGGTTGTAGCGCGGGTAGTGATGAGGGTAGACCGGTGGCGGAGGGGGGTAGTGTAGCGGTAAGGTGGACGCGGCGGCTTGTAGTAGCGATGCGGCAAACGCAGGGTCCGTGTACACTGCGGCGTAGGGCCACGCGATCGCCATCCGTTGTCTCTTGTCCTTCATGCGACGGTTTTGGAACCAAACCTTTAACAAAGAGAAAAATTTATTAGCGGCAAAGAAAAAACGAACTAGTAAAGTGTTATATGTGTATCTGCCGCTGAGGCCGAAACAAAAAACTTCATTCAATTGTAAAAATGTTAATTTCATGAATGCTTAAACACCGCCTTGATCTTAAGTAGTTAGCACTTCATAAAACATATGATTCGAACTTATCTGTGCATTAGGCTACTGCTTTATAATAAACTCTTAAGTTGTACCAAAATAGAAGCTAAAGTGGCGATTCCATGTTTTATACTTGAACACCGCGGTTCCTTTGATGTGTTAAAAGCTACATTAATGTCTTATTTGGCCTGTAATGTGTTAATTGTCTACAGCGGTCATTTTTAAATATTTAATGACCAAAGAAATTCGTAGGATCATTTTATAGCTTTGATTTTTTACAGTAAATGAATATATAATTGCGTAATAAATACTAAGTTATTAAAAAAACAACATTATCATAATAAATTTATTGTTGACAATTTATGTAAGTGTATAATAATCGATATCGATAGACAACCTCTCCCATATTTAACCAAAATCGATGTTTACTCGATCTGTTAGTTGAAAACACACATTTCACAAATTATTAAAATCGATACTATAATTTTGTGCTAATTTTTGATCGTTTGTCCTATTATTTTCTCTGAGAAAAGTAAAACGAACGGAATCCTAAAAAAATCTCCTGTAGACTATTGTATCGTGTACCGAACATATAAGTGGGTGTCTAATTATTTATTGTCCATTCCAAATTAATCTTGAAGCAACGTAATGTAGGTATATACAGAAATGGAAAAGCACTCTGAAGTGGAAACCGTCGATTACAGTATGATCAGTGTACAAAGTACAGTATACACGGTGTCCATTTTTCGAGTGCCACTATGGGGATCTCGCTTATCTTAAGAGATAGATAGTTAAATGAGGGCAAAGTTGCGAATTTTCGTGTTGAATAATAATCTGAAAAGAAATTTAAAATATCTTCAATAGTTTTGAAAATATCGCAAAAAAAAAAGAAAATTTCTGATTTTCGTTTTTAATTTTTTCATAGTAAACTAATCGTTCTAGACATTTCTAATTAACACATTATTCAGACACTTTTTAATGGAGATTTCGAATATGGCATCCCGTTTTCAATAACTTTTAAGATGACGGAGAAACACGTGGCAACTTTAATTTTTCTTATGGGCGCCGTTTTGGATTTTGACATTTTGAGATTACGTCTTTTTTTCTCTTTACAACGATATATCACACATGGTGGTTCAGTAACACATTTTTCCTAAAATTACAATTTTAATTTTCTGCGAAGAGTGCTTTGGAAAAACAAAACGTTCTTTTGTTGTGAACAAAAGGTTGACTTATTTCAAGTAGTGTAATTTACGTTTGTGCTAGATTTATTGCGAAAATATTATTTCTTCTTAAGTATTTTGTTCTAATTTGAATTATAATTTTCTTGCAAAACGAAGGTTCAATTATATTCAGATGAAAATCTCAACTCAACTAGTTCCCTGCCAACGCTCTAACCAGACAGATGGATCAAACTGTCATACTTTTGTTCACGATAAAAGAACGTTTTGTTTTTCCAAAGCACTCTTCCCGAAAAATTAAAAAGTGTCTGAATAATGTTTTTTTGCGATATTTTCAAAACTACTAAAGATATTTTTAATTTCTTTTCAGATTATTATTCAGAACGAAAATTCGCAACTTTTCCCCCATTTAACCAACTCTCTATCTCTTCAGCTAAGCGACATCCCCATAGTGGGACTCGAAAAATGGACACCGTGTATAACCCTTTACAAGGACCAATTTATATACATGTATACCGTACATTATAACTACTCTCTTATTTATGAAGGTGCGTGGAAGGGCCGGACGTACTTTGCACTCGGACTCCAAGCATCGAATTCACAATATAAGATCTAAATTCAGATTTACACCTTCATTGTGGGAACTGTCAATAAGGCTTTGGTATAGGGTGAAAATGTGCTGGAAAGTACCCCAAATGCGCGTTTTTAGTGATGGCTGTAGGTGGTTTCCCGGACCTCTAGCGATCACTAGAAAAGGTCCACACAAATGCCTCTACAAAGCTTTTAAGACCATGCAAAACAGCTTTCTAAAGATATTTTCAATTTTCCATTAACTATGTGTGTAGAGGCCCTTTCCAAAACTGGCCGAGCCCGGGAAGAAGCATAAAGTTCTGGAAAGAGCTTAGGATGCTCTTAGAAGGGTTCTGGAGAGGATCTACCTATATTCCTTCTAAAATACGATTCGAAAGGCTCGTGAACGTTTGCATAAAGCTTTATGGAAGTCCTATGGAGCAGAATTAATTAAACGAAGGCGTATTGATCGGAAAGCTGTGATTATTAGCCAACCACTTTCAACGAACACGTTTCGGCAACAGTAGCATCATCATCTGCGAACGCTATCGTGACAATTTTCAAATATAATCAATATGGCTAAAAAGAGCCAAGCATATTGAGCATAATGTAAAGTTTTTAAATGCAATAGCAAAAGAATGACGATTTGCTTGAATGTTTGCCTAATTATAGTTTATTACATGGCCAATAAACGCATGAAAAAAAAACCTGTTACGTTTGGTATAATGAAACATTTTCAAGGAGTTTAACCGAGGTGGAAATCTCAGCTAGAATTCTTGTATTTTTCGATGATTTTCGCATCGCCAAAGCAACAATATTCAGATTAACTAAGTGACAGTCAGATCTTCATTTTGTTTTAAGAAGTAATTGGGTGCATAAAATTACGCGCCTTTCAGAAGAAATGTTGTTATTTAAAAGTAGACATAGGTATAATACACATAAATCCCTATGTCTACTTCTTAATAAATAGCACTGTATATTGTATCGTTCCCCGATATGTCAATGATACAGGGTGTAACAATTATGGATGTGTGGCAAATACGTAGGTATAAATTGTGCACAACTCTTGTACAGATAAAGCGTAATAATTAATGGGGAAGGGGTTCTTTACGTATAAACGTATAAAAAAAAATAGGTATGACATCTTACATTTGTCAAAAAATCAGTTCCTAAGTTTTTGAATTGTTTATTCATGTAACTTATTATGTATTACCATAGAGTTAGTATTACTTAGAATTACTTTCATGCGCGTTATTTCTTTTTTCTTTTGTTTGTTACTTTCATTGTTACTGTTCTACTTTCTCGAATTACTTATTATAAGTTTAACTTTTTCCATTTGTCCTCTAATTGGATCTTTTATGTATCTGTTGGGCAAATATATATTATTATTATTATTATTATAAACATTTCAATGCCGCCTGGCATCCATTTAAAATCTAGGATATATAGGGTGGGCTATTAGTGTGTGGGTGGGTGATTTATAACAAAGTAGCATTTTTTTAAATGGAACCCCGCCTGTAGGTATATTTTTACATATTTTGATTCCGTGATCAATTTTAGTGTGACTTTATGTATTACCGAGTGTATTACACTGCACATGATAGGTATCTAAAATGAGTCGTTTAGCCGCAATTGGTCATTTTTTACGTATTTTCATAGTTTAAATAAAAAAATTATTATTTTATCCTTTTCTTTTGTTAATAATTTTTAACAGCTTACTAGTTACCTAGTAAGGGGCTTTTACAACTGAATGACACTGTCAATTATTAGAAATTGTTGACAAAAAATATGTAAAAGCTAAATACCGGCATGATCGTTAGAAAGGTGATAAAATCCTAAATTTTATGCAATAAAAAACTTGGTAGTTCAATTAAAAAAAATCAAGTTACCTTTGATTGAAGAATATTGAAAATTCAGGGAGTGATTTTTTTAATACATTTAACACTGCAAAGTCACGGCCTTCTTAGATTTATGATAACTGCGATATTCAATTTTTACTGGATATCTACTAAAAAATGACGAATTGCGGTTAAACGACTGATTTTAGCTGATATCATGTGTAATAACATAAAGTCACACTAAAATTGTTCAAGGAATGGAAATATGTAATAAGTAATATACCTACAGGGGATTTCATTTAAAAAATGCAACTTTGATATAAATCACCTTGTATAACAATTGCAATTTCGTTGTGTCACCTCGCGTATATCCATATATCCATTGATAATTACACCCTTTAATTAAAAAGTAGCCCCGCAAGACGGACGCAATGGACAGATGCCCAAATTCGAATAAAACCTTATTTTTATTAAATTCGTCGAGAAAACATAATACGCTTTTTGAACAATTTTTTTTAATAAAATACTCTGCAATAGATCTGCAATTTTTGTTAACATTTTCATGGAGTTTTAACTTAACGTAATTGGTATGCTTTTTTATTTAAAAAAACATGAAAGAAATTATAAGCTACAGTTAAAATTCACCGTACAACTTCTGTTTCTTTGTTACTATGTGTTTTGTTGACAAAACTAGCCTAAACAAATTTTTTTCTGAAAAAACTTAAATTAACCATCAAACCTTAAAGTTACTAAACCAATATTTTAGGTGTTATTTTTTTAAACTTCTTTTTTCGTTGATGTCGCACTGTGCTATTTCGTGTACCGTGCCGATGTATTTACATTTTTACATTCTGTAAGTTTTCGTTATTAAGTATACACGGTGTCCATTTTTCGAGTGCCACTATGGGGATCTCGCTTACCTTAAGAGATAGAAAGTTGGTTAAATGGGGGCAAAGTTGCGAATTTCCGTGCTGAATAACCTTCTGACAAGAAATTTAAAATATCATCAATAGTTCTGAAAATATCGCAAAAAAACGAAACTTTCTGATTTTAGTTTTTAATTTTTTCATGATAAACTACTCGTACTAGACATTTCTAATTAGCACATTATTCGAACACTTTTCAATGGAGATTTCGAATGTGACATCTCGTTTTAAATAACTTTTCAGATGACAGAGAAACACGTGGCAACTTTAGCTTTTCTTATGGGCGCCATTTTTAATTTTGAGATATTAAGATTACGTCTTTTTTTCTCTTTACGACGATATATCACACATGGTGGTTCAGTATCGCATTTTTCCTAAAATACAATTTTTAATTTTTTGGGAAGAGTGCTTTGGAAAAACAAAACGTTCTTTTATTGTGAACAAAAGTTTTACAGTTTGATGCATATGTCCGGTGGGCATCAGCGAACTAGATGTGTTGAGAAAATTCGATTTTCATAGGAACAGAATTGAACCTTCCTTTTGCAAGAAAATTATAATTCAAATTAGAACAAAATAAAAATAAAACTAGCACAATCGTAAATGACTGCTTGAAATAAGTCAACATTTTGTTCATAACAAAAGAACGTTTTGTTTTTGCGTAGCACTCAGAAAAAGAAAATTGTATTTTTAGAAAAAATGTGATACTGAACCACCATGTGTGATATATCGTTGTAAAGAGAAAAAAAGACCTAATCTCAAAATGTCAAAATCCAAAACGGCGCCCATAAAAAAAACTAAAGTTGCCACGCGTTTCTATCCGTTATCTTGAAACTTATTAAAAACGGGATGCCATATTCGAAATATCCATTAAAAAGTGTCTGAATAATGTGTTAATTAGAAATGTCTGGTACAATTAGTTTACCTAAAAAAAGTTAAAAATGAAAATCAGCAATTTTCGATTTTTTGCCATATTTTCAAAACTATTGAAGATATGAATTTATTTTTAGATTATTATTCAGCACGAAAATTCGCAACTTTGCCCTAATTTAATCAAGTTTCTATCTCTTAAGATAAGGGAGATCGCCATAGTGGTACTCGAAAAATGGGCACCGTCCGTCAATATCGAGAGTACGAAGTCGCGGAGGAAAATCTAGTAGGTAGTACCTAATAGTAAATTCTAATTCAGAAAATTTTGTTCCATATCTGCTTTGGTCCAATACATATGTGGGCTTGTATTTTAAATAGGTACTTAGATCATTTCTAACCAAATTTAGGGTTTAATCTGTGGTTAACAGAGAATTAAGCTTCTAAAGCTTCCTATACATTCGCGTCTAACTAACTGGCTTTGGTAACGTGTTCAAATTCCATTATGTCTTGATGAAAGTGTTCCCCTTGTTGTTCCAGGATTTTTTCTCCTCTTTGCTAAGTAACCGCGGGAAAATATCACACTCCATATTTCTTTTTATTTGAGGGCAAACAAAAATGCCAGCTTTAATTTTTGCCCCTGAAAGCTTTCAGTCAAATCGCTATAACTTTTGAAAATGCAAATATTTTCGATTTCCAATAATCAGAATATATTATACCGGGTGGTGCACCAGGAACGTATAGGGATTTAACATGGGAAATTAGTTTTATGCAATATCCTACCCTCCTGTACATGTTTTATTAAGCTTTTGGTATACCCGAAAATTTAAAATTAAATTTCAACATTTCTGTTATTCGTAGCAATAGCCATGACTTTTGTTGTTTTATGAATTGCACTTTTTAAAAATGTCACAGCCAACTATGGTTACTATTTAAGAAAATGTAAGTTTGCGTTATAACTCGAAAATTATAAAAGAAAAATGAAAATTAAACAATTATGTATTTTATTAATCGGAAAAAGATCTACAATTTTTCTTCTCTTTGCATATTTCTGCATTTCTAATACGAATACTAACGATTCTACAACATTTAGAAGAAAAATCACTAAATCTGTTTTTCGCTCATATCTAGTAAACTGTGGATTTGTTTCAAAAAACAAAGAATAAGTATACTTAAAACGACAACTCTTTCTCCATTTAACCGAATCTCTATGTCTTACGGTTTCCAAAATCCCAATGAAAAAAAAAACTCGCACGGAAAAAATTTGCGGGAATAAGAATATTCTGCTAAATTCCTGAATAAAATCAGAAAATTCAATCTTTCTTTAAATTTAGAACACAAAAATAACATTAGAGAACAAAACATTAAAAATGATCATTTATAGAATGTTGATGATTTGTTCGATATGAAACTATTTAATCATTTCCTGTCTATGAATAAACAAGATAATTAATGAGATTTGTTTGTAGGTAGTTAATGAGTTCATTAAAATTAGAAAACAAAAAAGCTTTTGTTCGATCAGTTGCTGTAATTATTAGATAAAAATTGCAATTATGATGTGACCATCGTCAATTACTAATGGAATTTATGTTTTCATTTACTGATTTACTGATACTTCAGCCAAAAAATCATCGGAAATAAAAATTGTGCACCTACCTTTATAGTACTTTCAGGTAAATTAAGTTGCGCCGCCAGCTCGCATCTTCGTGGTCTCGAAACGTAATTTTCTTTATAAAATTCCTTCTCTAGCCTTCCTAGCTGTTCCCTTGTGAACGCCGTACGATACCGCCGAATATTCGGATCGGATTGAACTGGACTTGTGGATGACGTGTTTAGTTTCGATTCCGACGATAACGGGCTGCTGCACTCTGCAAAAAAGGGAAACGAAATTCAGGAAATGTTTCAATAATGCGCGGAAGCAAAAGCTTAAAGTCGATGTTCCTGATAGTCTAGACACTACAAGTGGTTAAAATCCAAAAAACATACAGGAACCAGATAATTGAGAGGAACTAAAACTTAAGTGACTTGGCGACGCGCTTCCGCCCTCCAAGGTACCTATTATAGGTGAAAAGATCCGACGGATTGCCTAATTTAGTACCTTTTTTATAATGCTGCGTACTGTTGGGCGATTGCGGCGGGCTGGGCTGATTATGGTGATGAACATTATAATGAGGCGGAATGACGTCTAAAACTACAGGCGCATTTTTGCCAGCTTCTTGTTGATGATACATCCTAAAGTTGTTATGCATGGGCACGTCACTAGCACTTAAATTCAATAATGTAACGCCGCACGAAATTACCGAGATCTGTATTAAGTTACCACCAAAAAGGGTAGAAGGCAAATAATTGTGCGTTGAGTGATAGTCTCTCCAAGTCTTGCAAGTTTGGGGCTATTCTAGGCGGGGTTCGAATCCGCCCTGGTTGGCTGCGGTGTGACGTTTCCTGATTGGTTATTCCGCCTCTATGGACTTATTTTCACTTGTCTCTAGATTCATTTTCCAACGAAACAGTCCTTATGGCCTCTTAGTACATGTCGGAGCGTATTAAACAGATATATGGACCATTTTCGGCGTTAATAACAAAGATTGTGCACTGGCGAAGCTTAGCTTATTCCATATTGATTATATTTTTATTACTTCTATAAAGATGTTTTAGTACTTTAATTTTATGCTGAGTTTAAGATGTAATTTTGTTTAAATTTGCAGAGATACGCAAAGCTTTATATTTTATGCTTTCTCTTTATTTATATTAAATTTATTTTTCGAATTTAGAGAGAGCCATACTGCATATTTTCCGGGGAAATGCTCCGCCGCTTATCATATATTCACTAAAATTATGGAAGTATGAACAGCAAATCCTGTACGGTATAAGACCCAGAATATTATTATTTCTTACCTTTCCGTATCAGACGTAGTAGAAATTTTACAATTCCCCACTTGCGGTATATGTACCTAGCCATATGTCCTTTAAAATACGATTTTTGTCATAGAGTTCACTTTCTACGTTGATAATACGTATATAAATAACCGTTTTTTAGCATTCGTTTTATAAACGTATATAACACCACTTTAATATACGTATATAAATCGCATATCAATGGAAAATAATAAACGTATAATATTCCTACAAGAATACCTATACAGCAACATCCGCCGGATATTTATGCGTATATATGTAAGATTTTAGTCTACAATAAACGCTTCTTATACGGAACTGTGTTGCTATAGGGATAGCGTTTTTAAACAATATGGTAGGTATCAGGTACCTATTACTAAACACTATATGAAAATTTTAAACCCGATAATTGACGGGGGTTGAACAGTTGCGCCGAATGGTATACGTGTCAGTACAAGTATAGGCAGGAGGTGGATTAAGTTAGCATCCCTAAATCGGCAACCCAATTTGTTACATCATCAAAATATTGTGCCTATTTGTGCGCCAATCCTCAAATTTTGTGCGCTTCTTATTTATGAGAAAATAAAACTTTCCGCTGGGAGTCCAACTTAATGCTGGAAAACCATCATTCTCGTATCCACATCATGACATCTCATACAATCGGAGTAATTCAAAATTTCTAAACAGGGAGCCAACTTACCGTTATGTTATGATATGTTATGGTTTTGTACCTATTTTAGAGGAAGTCAGTAAACCGATATTCCTGTATGGTAAATCAAAGTGGTGTTATATACGTTTATCAAATTATTCTTAAAAGAACGTTTATTTATATACATATTATCAACGTATTATAAAACGTGAACTCTATATACATGAATAAAAATTGTATTTTAAACGTAGGGATAAAATTGGTCTACAAAAAAACCTGGGGTTGGAGCTCAAAGCACTATAGGCACAAAAAGATGATATAGATTTTAAGTCGCTCCGATTGTAACGGGTGCTGCGTTAAATTGGCACTTGGCACCCCCTTTAGAACGTTTGAATTACACCGAAAGGAAAGGCACACAAGGCCTGAGTATTAGCGCACATACTTATCAGCACAAAACGAGCACAAAACTAGGTATGGAATGAGTGTCATGTGGATACGAGAATGATGATGTTCCAGCACAGCACCCCAACGGAAAATTTTGATTTTCTCGTAAACAAGAAGCATCACACAACATTTTGGGATTGGCGCACAAATTAGAACAATATTTTTAAGAAGCAACAAATTGGGGTGTCGATTTAGGCAGGTACCTACTTCTATCAAAAAGGAATGGACATAAACCTCTCGCCAGGAAAGATTGCCGGTCACAGAAGACCTGATCTCGGTCTACAATCTGTGTTTTTCTAAAGATGTGAGCGATTTCCGGGATAGGATCGTGCCAATGTTGAACGAAAAAACTTTTCGTTCAACATTGGCACGATCCTATTTCGGAAGTCGCTCGCATCTTAAAAAAAACATAGATTGTAAATTGACACAAGGTGTGCTGTGACCGGCAATCTTTCCTGGCGAGAGTTATAATTGTTTTTTTATAGATATAGATACCTACTACTTATTCAACTTGTTGGCTTCGTCCTCATTAATCAAACTGCAAATTCATAAAAAAAGTATCACTCTAAAAACTAGTACAAAAAACTATTGTCTGGCGTTGTCAATGGCAACGCGAACTTTTTTATACACTTCCAATACCAATGCCAACGCACAGACGTCTAAAAAGTCAAACTTTTATGTCATTCAATGTGTTGAGAAATGTCATGTTTTATTGACGTTTGAAGAAAAATAGTTATTTTTTGTTCATCTTTCAACTCTCGGATTTTGACATTTTGGCTATCAAGGTTGGGAACTTAAAAAACACACTATATAATTACATCCATTAAATAATTCCATTTTTGAAATATAAGAAACGAGAAAAACAACATGCATTTATTCAGGGGCTCGTTGTGCGAGGGCTGGCGCGGCCGTAAGCCGCAGGATATGATTCAATGAAGAATTAAATGGAAATATAACATTCTTTGTAGACATATGGAAATAGAACCTTGTTTGTAGCGCATTTTTGCAAATTCATTTATGTAAAAAGGTAGCTTTTAATCTCTTTTTGGCCGGCTGGCTGGCTATTAGCAAATGAAGGCCCGTAGAAGAAAGTTTGTAGAAAACGAGGAGTGCACGTCATGTACCTACCGGGGCCGTGTAATTAACAACTTTAGTGACAGAGTACGGTCGGCGACATCTGGGCGCCATCTCCGAGCGTGGTTTACTAAAGTGGTGATTTTTCAATTTTTTCCTATCTTCTATATAGTTTTGGTCGAGCTATGAGAAGTTCCCCAAAAATTGAGTAGTATTTTGCTTAACGGATTAAGATGTTAACGCTTCTGTTAATTTCCGTTAAATTGAACTTCCGTTAATTTTATCTTTTACACTGGTTATTTGTTGATATATTGTTATTTTATTGTTTGTATTACGCGCCACTTGACGCCTGTACGTTAAGTGATCATGTATATGAGTATATATTCGAAAATGTAGGTAACAGTTTAACGACTATCGAACATTAGAAATAAAGAAATAAATATAGGTATATGAGGATAATCCCACTCGATCTGGAACACCCTGTACACTTTCACTGTCAAGAACGACAAAGTTTCTACATCGTAAATGAGCATCCTTCATTTAGTTACCTACTTATAAATATATTTGTAATGGCATTAAAAAAATTTGTGAAATACTCTTATATTACCTATGCTACTTCCTTTTCAAAAGCTATAGGTAGATGTATATCGGCTTTAATTTATTTTCATAACCAAATCACTTATCATAAATCATATAACATCAAAAAACTAATCGTTTTTTTATAAATTTGTCACTTAAGTGCAGATAAATAACAGGAAGTGTACAATTTTTCATATTTCAAGAGATTAATTTTAATTTTTGGCAGACTTATTTACATGCCCATTGTTTTATTTCATTCATAGTGCGTTTATACAATTATTATCATTAGTTCACTATCTTAGATCATTAGGAAATAGCCAATAGAAACAAATGTAGGGTTTCGTTGGTTGTTAGCGACGCACAATAAACCTTTTTTTACGGATATACCTAATAATAATTACGATTGTATTGTATAAACCCATGATTGGTATTAATGGAAGCTTATAAAGTATTATCTCTGTTTACTGGAAAAATTAAATAAAGTAAAATTTAGTATTTGCGTAAAAATAATAATTTCACGGCAAGAGTGATTTTTACTAAAATGATAATTCATAATTTCCTAACTTCTCCAATTTCCCACAACAAAATTTACAAATGGGCACATGAATAAAATTCTTACTTTTTCGATCAGACTTCTCAATCAAAAGTTATAGACTAGAAACCAATTTCGAAAGAAAATTCAAAGGACTGTAACTTTTGAACTAGCAACCCAATGTTGGAACTGTTTGAAATTATGGATTCTACAGGCCACGTTCTATAAGAAAAATTTTTTCCGGGACGATCTGAGACAATTTTTTTTTCGTACTTTTTAAAACCGTTTCTGCACCCTGAAAACTAAAGGGCGTATTCTACAAAGAATACGGCCCGAAATGGAGGGAAGAATATATTACTACTACAGAATCGCGCATGCGCAAGTGTGTCAAAGTAACAAAAAACTGTCAATTTTTGACATTTTTCCATACAGGTAAAGTCTGTATAGTAGAACCTGGCGGTTACTATGTTGATTTTTTTAACTATTCTTTGACCCAGGAACCCTGATCAATTTCTCTTATCACAGGAAGTAACTACTCAAGATTTTAATAAATGATTGAATACATTTAATAATAAATTAAAGTGAACTTCTTTCGTTGATTGGACTGCTACCTCTCCCCTCGCTTCAGTTATCATGGTTCATACAAAACGGAACAAACGCAATCTCCGCAGTTAGTGTCCCCTTTTAGCCAATAGCAAACCCGCATTTACGTTTTCTCGTCTTTATCCAGACGGAACCAACGGAACTGGACGGTTCACTGCTATCTCGGCTTTCCAAAATGCGTCTACTATATCATTTTTAAAGCTACAGTCTACTGTTCGTATAAAGCGGTACATATGCGTTTTTACCTATACATACAATTCGAAAAAATGTGTACAGCATAACGGGTTCCCGTTACAACTGGTCGAAATAGACAATTTCTTATGTAGTGGTGTATACAGTAAGTCACTACCTTGTATATTCTTTTACTTTTCAGATGCCTTCAGTTTACCATCAGGTGAACATGTCAGGACCTTCCTAGGCGAGACCAAATTAATAAGGCTAAAGGGTAAGTTTTCACTTTTTAGTTAAGACATTAACTAACAAATATTCTGATTGGCATCTTTTCATAATTTTTGTAGCTGATATAAAGTTGCAATGGGTGGGTGTTCATTTATTGATTAATTAGGTCATCTGATGAGTGTAGCAGAGGTTACATTTGAGGGTAGGCAAGGCTCTGAACGTTTTATTGAAATCTTCATTGTTTACGGTTAACGCTTCGACGCGAATCCCGATCTTAGTTCCCCCCAATTAGCTCCCACTCCCTGATAAATTCCAAAACGACTCGTCAACCAATGAAACAATCAACATTCCTGGGAACTTGAGCTAATCTGTGACACCTCTTGCCTTCGTTTTACATTTACATTTCGTCCTCATTTTTGAATTTACGCTTAAAAATTGTTTTAACTTTGACATACGAGCGCCGAACGAAATGTTTGCTTTCCGTTAGGCAATTATCGTACTTCCCCTTGAGTTTACATCTGCATGTCCTTTTGGGCGTTTGGGGTCGCTTCACGAGTGAAATGCAAATATTTGTGGGATAAATGAAGAAAAACAATACGTTGAGGATCATTTCGGTCGACTTAGGCATACACCTAACTCGTTTTAGCGTCTCTGGATGAACGGGCCAACCTTCACTGTCATAGATTACGGTTTTTGAGCAGAGATCCGCTTCGAAGTAGTGCTTGATCGGTTTGGGCAAATCCATAACATTCTCCAAACCCCATATTCCTAAGGGAGCACTGCAAAGAAGTCCTATTAGTCCTTTCACGGCACCCAGTAAAAGTAACAGCATTATTATCGATACGGTTAAATGGATGACGATAGTTGCGCGGTCGCTGAAGGAGACGTTCTGAACTGTGATGAGCGGTAGTGACCCTAAAAAGCCAGCGGCGTGGTACTGTTTTAGGGTCATGGGCTTGCATTTTAATCCACGCGACGAGTCTACGCAGGCGCACCTGCAGTGCCAAGTACAGAAACAACGATCGAACTTATGAATTAGAATTGTTCTTGTCGCGGACACTTCTCTATTTACATTTAACGCAACGACTGAGCATTGGAATCTCTTCAGCGGAAGCTCACATTTGATTTCCAAATTGAAAATGTGCTGAGTTTGGGGGGGAATCAAAGCCCTTCGGGCTTCAATGTCATTGAAACTAGCCGGTAGTTCCAGTGGACAATTACACAATCGAACACTGAACAAATTTGAGACTAATCCGGAGTTTGTTACTTTCACAGTGATTATTGTTTTAAAAGGGCGGGTGCTGTCTATGTAAACTTCCGTAATTTTGGCGCCACCTTCCGGTCGAAGAAGCGTGTTAAAATCTGCCCTCACTTCGATGTCGATCATTACGAATTGACTTTCGGCATGGTTCATAGTCAAAATCTTGTCTCCGGATTTCGGGTTTGTTTGGATGGGATTCTCGGGGAAATTTCCGTAGTTTTTTAGAAAGAAGCACCCTTTCTTGCCCAATTTTTCGGCTTTGTGATCATGTTCCCACAAGTGGAAGGGCTGGTTGGACAAGCACGTTCCCTTCGGAACGGAGCAACGGTTGGGTTGCCTGGCGAATGCCTCAAATCCTACGCCTGCAACGTTACATCGATCACCTTTGGCCGATACTTGGTCTTTGTGAACTATTAGGTATTCGGATGGCCCATTTCTTACCTCTGGATGGTGCGAGTAGGCGCCGGCGTGCCCACTTTCCGGGATCAGCAATAGTGCCTCCTTGTAATTAATTGCAAACGTAGCGGGATCCGTCTCTTTCACTCTTGAGCTATATCTAATTGACAGAGTTCGTTTTTCGTCTACATAGTGACAGCTGTCGGTCCCAACTCTAATCGCCTTTCCTTCAGTGAGGTCTTTCCAAATTACATCCCCGTTTAAATCGTCGGCCCTCTCAAAAATCTGCACCAGAACAGAATGTTCCATTTTCGGTTTTCCCAGGCGGTAAACCGTGTACCAAACGTCGGAAAATTTGAGACAATGCGCACTTTCGTGGTATCCCTCCGGATTAAGCATTGGTGGAGTGTATCTATCCACACAATTTTGACCTCCTCTCGCTTGGTCGCCACTCGAATGAATTTGCCTTTTGTCAACCGCCTCGTAGCTAGGACTAAAGTAGACCAGTTTCTCCATCTTGGCCTCAGGACTTTGGTCATAATTTCTAGTGTCTCTCGCTGCTGGAATCATGGGTTAACGTTGTACATCCACTGCATACTTTACCTCTTAAATGTCTGGGACACTCCAAGCCATCCAGCATGAATTCAGGATCGCCGTATTTCACAAAATTCGCGACGTACTCGCTGGGTGTTGGTTGTCGTTGTGAATTCGTCAACGCGTTACACGAACAACAAAATCCCTCACTGTACGCAACATCGGTCCCTCGGTATCTAACTTTGCTACAAGTCGGCGATCGGGAGGTCACGTCACAACCGGTAAAATTAGGGGCATGTTTGTTGTGAACGTCTTCATGGGCGAGACCGTTGACAACGTGCAAGAACTGCAGAGGATAAACTTCGTTGATTACTTCCTGTTTTAATTTGACCACGTACGGGGTCAGCAAACGCGCTTTTCTACGACTGATGGGGTCGTAGACGTGATCGACGACGACGTACTCGGAATTGGAAAGGCCCCCACTTGGTGTTTGAAGTTTTAGTGTTAACACCAACTTTTTCCGACAGTCTGTGATCATTTCCTTTTTATCGAAATCGTACAGTTGATGACTCTCGTTGGGGCTGCAGTCTGTACATTTGACTAATAATGCTCTCATTTCAACGCGGGGTTCTTTTAGGCAGCATCGCAGTTTTTTCAGGCAACACATCGCGTTCCGCCACTGACGATCTAATTCGGTCTTTGAGTTGTGTACTATAACGATTAGGTTAAATGTACTGTATAATAATAATATGATATTCATCGTGACATTTGCACGTTTGCTTGATATTGACGAATTAGGAAACAGTATGTGATGTTGATACTTTCGTGACCCGCTAACGAATGCCTCCCCCAACTACTCTAGACGAACTCCTACCTACTATTTTAACTAATTAATGTCTACAAAATGGCTTCTTATTAACGAAAACGGCCATCTTTAATCATTGATTCGTTTCTGTCGTTCCTGCCTTACGAATTAAATGAAAACTAATCTCATGTATGGTTAAATATGCCACGTTGCATTTCTTATAATACCGAAATGACCTAATCCTTACGTTGCAGGTAAAACCAATGAAGATAACCACTTTAGCTCTTTTTACTTCGATATTCTGTCGACAGGACCACTGTATAGAATTGAAATACGCAAGGACAAAAATATGATTTTTAACATAAACATGGGAACTGCCCATAAGTCTAAATTTACTCGTATATTGAAACTACCAAGCCTCTACTTCGACTACCGTACTCACTCTCTGTTAACAAACCTGTAACAGTGCGCAAATTAGGTGTTACCCTTACACTATCAACTGTTGAAATATGCTGTCCAACGTATTTGATAGGGATAATGTAGTATTGTCTAATGATTCTAAAGTTAAACTGGAATTATTCAGTGGAAAGATTTTCGCCACTTAAAATTTACCTTCTTTTAACCATCATAAAAAAATTATTTTACAACAAAACATACATATACTTTGACGTGAGCTCTACGACGGATTAAAGCCAGGGACGGACTGGCACGGGGGGGGGGGGCAGGGAGAGATTGCCACCTGGCCTGTAGATCGTAATGGCCCGTTGGAAATTTATAAGTATGTGCTGTATTTAGTTTCTTGCACTATTAATAAATTATTAACACGTTTCTCTAATTGGGGTTGATGTTAGGTTGTTAAAAAATTCTGTTTCAATTGAAGTGTTTTACAATGAATTTATCATTTTTTGTCGTAGTATTTTGAAAGTGCTGAAATACAATGATAGGCGACGCACCTCGTGTGGATTGTATATTTTGTTGCTTTTAATTATCAGCTGCAATTTAAAAAAAAACCGTATGGTAATTGATTTTCGAGAAAGGAGTACTTTAAAATGTTTTTGTGGTGCACCTAAGAGCTACCCCCCCCCCCCCCCGGCACCTTCATTACTACACTAATACTTTAATGGCTTAATGGCCCGTAAGTACCCAGTCCGCCCCTGTGTATAACCTTCCTTTTTTACCAAAATTCGACTACACCAAAATTTCTCGGGAAAACACTTTTTCTTATTAATTTGGGTGCGTAGAATCCAAATCAATTCGTACTTTTTCGATCAGACTTCTCAATCAAAAGTTACAGACTAGAAACCAATTTCGAAAAAAAATTCAAAGGGCTGTAACTTTTGAACTAGTAGCCCAATCTTGGAACTGTTTGAAATTATGGATTCTACAGGCCACATCCTATAAGGGAAATCTTTTTTCCGGGTCTATCTGAGACAATTTTTTTTCTAGGCTCAAAAAAAGGCAGTGTATAATCATTGAATTTAAATTCAATGGTATAATACCTTCCTTTTTTACCAAAAATCGACTACACCAAAATTTCTCGGGAAAACACCTTTTCTTATTAATTTGGGTGCGTAGAATCCAAAACAATTCGTACTGTTTCGATCAGACTTATAACCAGGGGCGCACTGGCCCGGGGGGCGGGTGGCGATTGCCACCTAGCCTGTAGATCATAATGGCCCGTTGGAAATTTATAACTATGTGCTGTATTTAGTTTCTTGCACTATTAATAAATTATTAACACGTTTCTCTAATTGGGGTTGATGTTAGGTTGTTAAAAAATTCTGTTTTAATTGAAGTGTTTTACAATGAATTTATCATTTTTTGTCGTAGCATGAAAGTGCTGAAATACAATGATAGGCGACGCACCTCGTGTGGATTGTATATTTTGTTACTTTTAATTATCAGCTGCAATTTAAAAAAAAACTGTATGGTAATTTATTTTCGAGTACTTTAAAATGTTTTTGTGGTGCACCTCAGAGCTAACCCCCCCATCATTACTACAATAATACTTTAATGGCCCGTAACCTATGCAATTCCACCTGGCCCGCAGTTACCCAGTCCGCCCCTGATTAAAGCGCATTCAAAGGTTTCCGTAAAGAACACCCTGTATCTTCGAAACAGCTGAGCCGATTTTAACTAACTCGGGTTAATTGAAAAGCGTTATTTTTCAGCTCCAAATATTATAATATTTAAAGTTTTATTAGTTTCACATATTGCCGCTTGAGGGCTTTTTTCGACATTCCGACACAAATGGTTAATTTTCTCAAAAAAATTAAATGCGTTGCGTTGATTTGATTTTTTTTCATGAAAAAGTAGCTAAATGATGCCTAAACGAGCTCTAGATACTGGGTGCTCTGCAAAGACTCCACAAATATACGATGTGGTCATAACTATTAAACTTCAGGGCCGAAAACGGGTTACACAGTGTGTTTTTATTTCTTTTTATAAGAAGCGTCCAATTAAAATTTCCGAAAAAGTCTGCGCATGCGTAATCTAATTTTAACACGTGTACATAATAAGTAATGACCGCAAGGAACAACCACGGCTTCCAGCAAATGTTCTTGTGTAAAAATTACTGTAGCAAATATTCGAGAAATTCCGATAGATATCGAGGCGCCATGAAAGATTAGCCATCGGCGATAAAGAACGAAGGCGGATGTGACGTAATCTTTCTGAGAAATATGACGTGTTTGCTCGAGAATATTCTGAAGCGCCCTTGAGCCCTCGAGAACATCCCGAAAGAATATTATTTGCTATATAAGCAAATCGAATTGTGTTTCGAGTTCAGTTCCAACATCGACGCACTTGAGTTATGTCATAAATTTAGCAGTGAGTGATAAATAATAATTACTGTTATCAATTTATACAAAAGATGTTTCTTTGGCAAATCTTTCGCCACTTATTCTCATATTTAGGCAAATCTCACAATATTATTGACCCAAACCCCATAAGATGCACGGTTCAGCCCTGTCATCAGATGAAGGTGAATATTGAATAATTCCGGCTGCAGGTGGATATTGTATCATCTACTGTTTAGTAAGTAGTTCAATATTAAGACATTTTGGTGCGCCACCCTCTCACCAATCACCCTCAAAATTAGGACGCCGCCCTTACCGATTTCCATTAACTATGTAATAGCGAAATCGGAAATGTAATTAAATAGGTTTACATACGCGATGATAATTATATTATAGTGTATAAATACAATGAAATAATCAACACTTAACCCTACGGATTTATCCGAGTTCATCACGTCCAGATGGGAAACCTGCTAAATAGCACATTGGGGAATAAACCCTATTAAAAGTGTAAATCCCCGTCGAAAAAATAAAAGAAACTTCAATTTATCACTCCGGTATATCGAGTTTAATTGATAAAAACTACGTTCGCACTTAGTTTCTCATTTCACAGCCTTAAACTACAATTAGTCGCCCGAGAAAAAAATAGCTTTGATATTGAGACGTCTATGAATAATCACCCTTCTAACTTGTAAACGTTTTTAAGTGAGTTCTGTTCATTAAAACCCCAACTTACACGATGAAGTTCTTTTTTATCACAAATTATAAGTCAATTTAAAGTAGTCAAAACACGAGGGGAGTTAATAGGGCCAAAAATAGGGATACACGATTTTATCTGTTTTATTTATTAGCGGGGCTGTTTTTAGATGTGGCGTATATAGGTTTATTATGACTTTATAGCCGAAGATTTTAAGCTTGTGTTGTCGTTTAACTTAATTGGATTTTTATTTGAGAACCATTTATGTTAGAAGAAACATCTGTATAGGACCATCAAAAAAAAATCCCTTATGATCGCGCCAACATTGAGATACATTGTATTCTGAGGGAGAATCCGATCTAATAACTATAAAAACGAAATTGTATTTTTATCGTGTCGGTAATTTGAAAAACGTACGATAATTTAAGACGTTTTATATGTAATTTTGAACTTGTACTACGGTGTAAACCGTGCTTTTTGCTACCTCTAGATTATACTCAATAATTAAACAATTATGCAGCGTTTAGATGTCTCGTGAGATTGGAGCAGAAAATTGCTTTGGGCTGCGCAATAACAGCAGCTTATTCCCTTATGATATTAATAACAACCAACCAAGACTGCTTGTTATCTTTAAAATCGGGGAGGATAGTACGCTATTCTGCAGACTGGCGACATCTAGGTGGTCAAAGAACTCCTTCAGAGGGGTGCGTTTGAAGTGATCTAAAAGAGGGCTGTAAGTGGTGTTAATCATGAACACTTTTCACGAATACCAAAACCGTTTTAAAGTAGGGGTTATTAGATGTCGCCACGGACGAATTATAAAATTTCATCTATCTTTGGAATCCCTATAAAAATTCAATGCATGAATGTTGTTGTAAATTGGAACTTCCCCGTCGAGAAGCGTCTCTCGATTAAATTCCCGGTGAAACAAAAGTTCTTTGGGCGTAGTTTTTTTGAACGATTTACTTCTGTGTTTCCAGGATCCTTTTTCACATGAGAATTTGCTAATAACACTTTTGTTATGTATATTCACACAAAGGGAAACATTTTTTTACATGTTAAATTTTTGGTAATGTTTTTTATGGTTATGAATTCCACAAGCAAAGTTCAATCTCTTTTTGTTCAATAAAGACTTTGTAACTTAAATATGGATTTTTTCTGCTAGCTTATTGTTCATTGTAACGGAAAAGATATATCCCGGCGCAATTAATTAATTTATTTTACTGAGACGCACGTATTTGACGGTAGTCTTTATTTCGTCCGATTGCACAATCATTCTTTATGACACATTTAGTTCTCTCCTCAAAGCTAATAATATACTAATATCTTGGACCACGTACTAAACTATCTCGTAACCCAAGAACGAATGCCTGCCAAATCTCCCCGTAATTATTACTATCCTTTCTGATTTACCACCACCCACAAAATGGCTTCTTATTCATAAGCGCGGCCATATTTAATCGCTGATTCTTTTTCTTCGTTTCTGTACCACCAATTAAATGAGAGCTAGGTTACGTAATTATCCTAGGGATCCGCCAAGCCGGATCTGCAATCTTGACTTACCCTATACTTACAGTTGGCAATTCGAGGGGAAAAACTACGAATAAAGTCACAAACAACGGATGTTTCAGGACACTTTTGAATCTCGACAGTTTTTTTATTACTTGTGCATGCTCTATTCTGCCTTTTGTGTCTAAAAATATGTGTACAAAATTTGGTTCCAATCGGTTCAGCCGTTCAGCTGGAAACGGACCTACAGATCGACATCATCGAGATTGTTTTGATTTGGATTCCTGGTGCTTAAAATGGTTTTTTTTCCGTTTAAGAAGTGGGGGGTCATTTTTTGCCCCAACGCAATACCTCGTTACTCACATGCAGGTGGTAAAATTAAATCAACTTGGACAACAAAATGTAAAAGAGGAAAATATACAAATCAAACATCTCAAATCATACAATAAAAATCGGAATCGAGTCAAATACAGTAAATCAACAGGAACAAAACACAAACGACAGAATACAAGTGGACAATTCAAATCAAGTACAAAACAAACACATTACACACATCTACAGTTCAATTTAGGCAAAACCACATAAATAGAAAAAATGTTTAAAGGATCCCCTTCTCGCATTGCTTACGCACCGTCCGGTAATTTCTAAGGGGTATGACGATACTAACCATTTTGAGTAATTTTTAAATGAAACTAATTTTTGTCTCCTTTTTAATGTACATTTTTTCTTTGTTTTAGATTCCAGAGAGGCAGTCTTACAAAGGTAGGATTTCTTTTTTTTTATAAAGCATCCATTGCCACGGCAATGATTTGTCGATGGTCTTCTTTGCGGCAATCAGTTAAGTTCATGTTAGAAAGTCTGACCATATACAATGGTCCACTCAACAGTAGAAAAGGGTTTATAAAATAGAAATTTCTATAATGACTTGGGTCGCAACATGCTCTTAATTACTGGGGTACGTACACGCAAGAATTTTTTTCTTTGAAGTGTGTGAAACCAGTTAACTTCTCTTTGACCAACGCCCGTATACATTGAGGTAATAATTTCTTGGCTTCTTTAACGGTGTTAATGCGAAATTTTTGCACACTTCAGCCATCTAGATTTCTAGATGACCAGCGGGGAATTTTCCGTATTTACAAATGAAAAAAATTTATGGCGGACTTCAAGTTAGCTGAAAATTGAAATTTTTTACGTTTACGTTGATAATTTAACTCATACCAAAAAGGTATAATCGGGTCCCAATTTACATTTAATAACCGAATACGTAATTAAAAGAAGGTACATTAATTTGATAAGAGGTTTTCAGTTGATTTCTCTTTGATCAACGCCCATATACAGTGAGGTATTAATTTCTTGGCTTCTGTAACGGTGTTAATGCGAGATTTTTTTGCCATCTACACTTCTAGATGACCAACGGGGAATTTTCCGTATTTACAGATGAAAAAAATTTACGGCGGACTTAAAGTTAGCTGAAAATTGAAATTTTTTACGCTTGCGTTGATAATTTAACTCATACCAAAAAGGTATAATCGGCTCCCAATTTACATTTAATAACCGAATACGTAATTAAAAGGAGAAGGTACATTAATTTCATAAGAGGTTTTCAGTTGATTTCTCTTTGATCAACGCCCATATACAGTGACGTAATAATTGCTTGGCTTCTGTAACGGTGTTAATGCGAGATTTTTGCACATTTAAGCCATCTACACTTCTAAGATGACCAACGGGGCATTTTCCGTATTTACAGATGAAAAAAATTTACGGCGGACTTAAAGTTAGCCGAAAATTGAAATTTTTTACGCTTGCGTTGATAATTTAACTCATACCAAAAAGGTATAATCGGCTCCCAATTTACATTTAATAACCGAATACGTAATTAAAAGGAGAAGGTACATTAATTTCATAAGAGGTTTTCAGTTGATTTCTCTTTGATCGACGCCCATATACAGTGACGTAATAATTGCTTGGCTTCTGTAACGGTGTTAATGCGAGATTTTTGCACATTTAAGCCATCTACACTTCTAGATGACCAACGGGGAATTTTCCGTATTTACAAATGAAAAAAATTTATGGCGGACATAAAAGTTAGCTGAAAATTACAATTTTTGCGCTTGCGTTTGATAATTTAACTCATACTAAAAAGGTTTAATCGGTTCCCAATTTACAATTACTAACCGAATACGTAATTAAAAGGAGAAGGTACATTAATTTCATAAGAGGTTTTCAGTTGATTTCTCTTTGACCAACGTCCATATACATTGAGTTAATAATTTCTTAACTTCTGGAACGGTGTTAATACGAGATTTTTGCACACTTCAGCCGTCTAGATTTGTTGATGACCAACCGGGAATTTTCCGTATTTACAAATGAAAAAAAATGGCGGACTTCAAGTTAGCTGAAAATTAAAATTTTTTTACGCTTGCGTTTGATAATTTAACTCATAACCAAAAGGTATAATCGGTTCCCAATTTACAGTTAATAACCAAATACATAATTAAAAGGAGAAGGTACATTTATTTCATAAGAGGTTTTCAGTTGATTTCTCTTTGACCAACGCCCATATACATACATTGAGGTAATAATTTCTTGGGTTCTGTAACGGTGTTAGTACGAGATTTTTGCACACTTCAGCCTATTAGCTGAAAATTACAATTTTTTGCGCTTGCGTTTGATAATTTAACTCATACTAAAAAGGTATAATCGGTTCCCAATTTACACTTAATAACTAAATACATAATAAAAAGAAGAAGCATTGTATATGTATTAAATATACAATGGAAGAAGGTACATTTATTTCATAAAATGTTTTCAGTTAGTAAAGTCTTCTATAACTAACCAAGCAGGATTTATTTGGTCATAGAAAACAAAATACAGTAGGAAATCACTAACCATAAAATACGATATGTTACCTTAATTATTGGAACATTCAGAATTATCGTTTATAATTTGACATGATTTCTTGTGCTTGAGGCTGTATGATATGCAGATGTAGTAGTTATAGGTACATTATTAAATGATCTATGTATTGCTAACGAAACTATAGGTTCAAATTACACATCTAAGGACATTTAGGAGGTACATTTATTTTTAATCTTACCGTTAAGTAAATAATATCACAGATACTAGGTAAAAATATATAAGAAATAAAAAAATAACTATTATTAATCGGTTTATAAAAGTACTTTACTGTTATCTTGGATTCTTGTAGACAACATGGCGGCGAGAAGTGCAAGGGCTACGGTTGTCACGGCGGGAAACAACAAGATGGTATGCACTAACGTACCATAGATAGGAATAGCACAAAGGGACGCTAGGTGGTATACACTTCGCATCATTCCGTGGGCAGTACATCTAAAAGAATTTGAAAAAGTGATTATGGTATTATTCGATCTTTATATTTACCTAAGGTGGCACGGATATCCTTCAATAACGACCATGGTTAAGACATTAACAGCACAAATGAGAAGTACTTTAAAGATAGCTTCTACTATGACGGTAGACACAAAGTTGACCAAGAAGAAAATTCCAATGCTGACTACACTTGCTAATACTAAAAGAAGTACTAGAACAGGTGGTCTTGATGTTGCTTCCAGAACGAATCCCAATACCAGAAGGGCAGGAACCATGGGTCCAGCCCACGCGATTGTCTCTTTAAACAGATCATTCAGGTAGATGTTGTAGTCAAAATCGACGACACAATCCGTCAGCAAAGATAAAACTGTGTTATTTATTAAGTTACAATTCAAAAAGTGCTGCTCGGTTAAATCAGTATCGATAAATCTACAAAAAACGAGAATGAGTGATTAATTATTTTGCAAAAATCTTACCTCGAATCTTTGATGGTGCTATTTTCAAAATACGTGATGGACGATTTAACGTTGTTGAATTCCGTTTCTTCAAACATGCAATTGACAAATTCCACGTGATTAAAATGTAAATGCGTAAACGTAACGTTTTCAAAGTTACACTCTTTGTATTGGACGTTTTCAACGGTCGAGTTAAACATTACATCGGTGTAGTTTTGATTACTTATGTACTTTTTCATCGAGAAATAGTGCAGATCGTTGGTTTCTCGTATTCTTGAGTAGGAAAACGTTGATATTCCCATGTAGCAGAATCCAAGTAGTAAATGTAGCGTTGCTAATAGAAGTGTCGTTTTGAAATGTGATGGCGAGTAGATTCTTTGAAATGCCTCGCGGAACTGAAACGGGAAACAAATCGTTGAAAATTCGACCAGCAGTCTCGCGTTCTTCACGTAAATTATTGAAACATTGAAACTTACCGTACTTAATCCGTGCGAGATAACATTTCTCGATGGACTAACGGGCCTATCTCTGTACGCGCTTCGACCGGGTAACTCAAGCTCCGTTAATCCATACTGCGTTCTCGCCTTATTTAATCTATGTAGCCTTTGATACACAGCTAAAGCTTCTACCTCTCTCGAAGCTTCTAAAAGATATCTTGGAGATTCTGAAGCCCAAACTAAACCTACTATACATGCAATGGTCGGAAGGATATTTAATATAAGGCATTTGTGCCAAGAACTCCAATGTTCGCGATTATCTAAAACTACTTCTGCTCCATCGCTTGGCAAGGTTAAATGTGCAATTGTCGAAGTAAATAATGCGCCTAACGGCCAAAATGAGTGCAACAATCCCGTGTATCTTGTGCGCGTCGCTCTTGGGCAAGTTTCTGATAGGTAACTGAACGTTAAGGGAACGGCGCCGGCAACTCCAAGGCCCGAGCAAAATCTGAAACGTTAACCGCTGACTCACTCAATCCTTTTCTTCATACCCAAGAACTGAAAAGTTCCTTAAACATTGATTTGTGCCTCAACGTTCGAGAAGGTTCGGAAATTTTAATTTTGTGCTGTTTTTGCGCCATCTTGGAACAAGAATTTTGGGTCAATTTTGCAAAATTGGAAGAATCCAAAAACCTAGTTAAAGAAAAAACCTTTTTCAGAACTACCTAGGGCCTAGGCCCTTTACACGGCCATCTAAGATTCTTTCCAGAGCATTTCAGGCTCTTTGCCGAGCTTTGTTTGTTTTTTAAATCTAGACAAACCTAGAAAGGTGTACCTACAAAGGAGGATACAGCTCTGGAAAGTGTTCAAAAAACTGTTCGAATGCGATGGGATACATTTTAAAGAGGTTCGCGGCTTCTACAGTAATTGACAGGGACTTTTTAAGCAATATGTAAAGCTTTCGTCGTTTCTCTATAGTGGCAAGCTCGGGAAGGGACCTACAACGCTGTGTAAAGGACAATTTTTTGCAAGGATGCTTTCAAAGGGCGTTAAAAGGCTCCGGACTTTAAGCTCTAAAACATTGTTCCAGATTCTAAAACAAATAGAAAGAGACTCCGAGCGTTTTTTTCTGATCGCCTCAGACAACGTACTCTAGTAACGATCTAGAAAACACTAACAAAATATTCTGAAAACCGAGGGAATTCCAGTGACATGTGCTTTTTATGGCCTTGCTAGAGCATTCTTCAGATTTCTTTATCCTTTCCAGAATGCTCTAGATTCTTTTCAGAGTTTATCTGAAGCGTTGTAGATATCTAGTTAACCATGAATTTTTTTAAATGAAATTAAGGTTGCAAACCTGAAATGTTCTCTCATTTCCATCTCTATTCTTTTTCGAGATCGGGTATTTCATACCCCCCCCCCTCCGGTGTTCTTTCCAGCATCAAAACCTTCAGCTCTAAAACCCCGTTCCAGAAATGACTGCCTAAGTGCCAAGGACTTCAAAAGTTTTGAAAATGATTTAGGAGCAAGGAGTTTGGGGGAGTATTCTGTACCCTCCAGGAACAAAAGAAAAATCCAATGTTCATTTCTCTACTTTTCACCATCAAAACGTTCAGCCCTAAAATTCTTCTTTCCAAAAATTATTGTGTACGTGATAAGGGCTCTAAACGTTTTGAAAATAATATACAACCGAGAGGTCTGGGGAGTATGAAACACCCCCTAGGAACCAAGGAAAAGCTCCACGTTGATTTCTCTACAACTATCATAGAGATTTTCGTATGGTATGGCATGGATTGTTGTAGCAAATCAGATTGCGTCTAGTGTCATTGGAAGCGCGCTAATTAATCATGAATTTTAAGACTAGTCCCAGATTTTTATGATGACCAGAAAGGTTTAATTGTTGAGTACTTTGTTATTAGTGACCTAGTTCCTTCCGCATTTTGGAAATTTTATAATAGGTATGACCTGAAGAAACTGGAAAATTGGGTAATTTTCATGCGAAAACCTTCGTACTTCTGAAAAGCACAGTAGCGTCGTTTTCTTGGAACGTGTATGGTTTCTTTCAAAGTTAGGTAGAAAAAAAACGAGCTAATTGAGGCACAAAACAATGAATAGGTTAAGAACTTTTGCTGCTTGGGTTTAGAGTAGGTACATCGCACATACCTAGCCGTCATGAACGTCCCATAGGTGGGCATAACTGCAGCAACGGCCGAAAACAACGCCGCAACAGACAACGCGCTTACCAGAGCCCTTCTTCGTCCCAATCGGTCGCCCAAAATTCCCCATGCCAACGATCCCGCGGCCAAGGCTAACAACGTGATCGATACTAAAAGCACATTCGTTATCAGCCCTAAAGGTTTTCTCGCTTACTTAGCCATCCTTTCCGATGTTCATCAATGCACAGTTGCAACTCCGTCGACGGTAAAATAAAAGACAGAATGGACAGTTCGGAACACTCCGCCGCCAGTCCCAGTCCCAGGACCAACGTTAGCAGTAGCTGTGCTCTTCCAACCGCAGCTTGAGAAATTGCATCCTCGTGAAACCCAACGAGCGCCTCGCCGCCAATTCCGACCCCTACCCCACTGCCCGTCGACGACACTGCGGATCAAAAAGCAAACATATTAAACATACCGACAAACAGTCGAAAGTTACCGGAGGCATCTTTTGAAATGTTTTCGCTACGGGGCCCTACCTTCATGGTGTCTTAGTCATGGCTTTGTTGGCAACTGACTCGTGTTGCCATCCTAGCGTAACGATAAATTCCAATTGTTTTACCCATTTACATTTTCACATTGAACAGATAAGATACTAAAATTTACATTGTATACACGTGAGCAAGTTGCCCTTCGGCCTTCGGCCAGGTTTCTTTTATGTTTAACTGTTCTAAAATGAATGAATAACAAACATAGCTTCGGATAGATCTATTTCTTTATGCATGACCTTTCAACATGTACACGGAAGCAAATCGATATTTTCGGTATGTAGGTAACGCTTAAATAACATTGGGGAGAACTGTAACAACAAACCCTGACAGGAAAAAAAATAGAGCCATAGAATTTAAATTTGAATTTTGATCGACGGTTTTTTAAATTAAAGAAAATAGCTTACGCCGAGGTTCGGGGATTCCGTTCTGTGATTGCTCCAGTGGGGGAACTAAACATGCGGATTCTTCACACATTTTGTCTCTTGATTCGCGTAAAATAATTGATTGGGCGAATGTTGTAAATCATCTGAAACAAAAATTACATTCATATAGTAGCGAATATTCCAGAAATCCCGATGGGCATTGAGGCACCATAAAATTAGTCATTGTCGCTTTCTTTCAGGAAAATATGACGTGTTTGTTCTAGAACAGTCTGAAGCGTCCTTGAGAACTCGTTTGCTGTATAAGCAAATCGAACTGTGTTTCACCTTGCTTTAGCTCACTGCGCAGCCAAGGATCATGATTTTAAACTCGTGTACTACTTGGTGGTGTCTCAATTTTACTTCTAAATCGTAGACACAAAACAGGAAGAAAAACTTCATACTGGTTGAATCGTATATGAATTGTTCATTCACTCGTAACGTAAAATTAATTTTTTCAAGTGAACTACCCGTTTTCTTCTGCGCGACACTTAGACAGTCAAATTAATAATTATAATTTAATGCCTTCTCAGGGCCTCCTTTACATTTGGAGTCCAAGCCATGATCTGCGGAGAAGCCTAGTGAGAAAAAAGGTACTATAGTTGGATTACAATGCAAGAGGAGTAGGCATAGCCCGCGGAGTCACGCTAGTACCGTCTGTCCAGTAAAAAATAGATATAAATATAATATATGGAATATAATAAAATATAAAAAAAATGTTTAAGGAAGTGAAAACAGGTTGAATTCTAGCAAAAGATTGTTCGTGGTGCAAAGGACGGCAGAGACATTCTGAAAGGAAGTTTGCGATCGATAGTTTGCAAACGAACTTGGGTTCGCGGTTCGCGCTATAATCGACTAGCGAAGCAGTCACAAATCAGTGCGGTAGAATTAATTAGCAGTAAACCGCCATTTAACGAATTTACATACTAGGAAACGCACTTTAGTGACTAATTTAATTAACTGGATCAGGCGAGTTCCCTTATTAAACTAAATTTTTATCTGTTCGACCCCTAAAACAAAAGATTCTAACTTTGACGAAGGCCCATGCGTACGTATTCGCATTTGGTCTAACAGACCCGCGAACTTTCCTTTGTAAGTACCCTCATTCGACACTCCGCGTCATCCCACTCACAATTGAAGTTTAGAGATTCGTACTTACACTAAATTCGAACAAAATCGTGAACTAACCCGCAGACAGACTTTTTAACATTTTGAATAAAGGCATATTTAAAAAAAAATGTTGTTTTGAAGGTATAGTCAGTCTTCGAGACCAAATGCCCCTCCCCCCTCCCCCTCCTGTATAATGTAAACTCATCCTTCACTACGATGATATCACTCGATTTTTGCTATATAAATATTCGAAGGCACATCTGCCACTCTAGCCGAGTTCAATGGCACATTATTAATTAAAATCGGCTCATAGGTTTTTATTTATTTAACATACCATACATAACAGGGTTAAAAACTTTAATTTCCCGTTTTTGCAAAACACTAAAATGTAAACATACCTACAGTTTTTCTTAAATCCAGATTTTACAATTATTTTATATACACCCTGTACAATTATTACTTACACCATGAAAAAGTATTGTTACAAGCTTTTCAGCGGTCTGTCACAAGTAGGGGTTAACTATATAATTTTTTTAGTTAGGGTAGTTGGGACCTTGTGGGGTCGGTGGGATGCGTTGTCATTTTAGCTCGCCCTAGCAACGGTTTTGACCATTTTTTGATATGATTTTTTTGTTTTATAGCATATGGCATATTGTCAAAAACTTATTCAGAGCTTTTTTAAGGAATTTCTGTTTTTGAAAAGAGCCCGAATTTTAATACGGGTTGCTTTTTGGTAGGTAAATACGTTAATAAAAGTAAATTAATTTTTGTTCGTGAACTTTCGAGGAATCCAATATGTGCATCTGCATTACTCATTATAATGATATTTCAGTGTCAAAGACATCTGCCGACTTCGAGTTAATTATAATTTTAGATTGTCTCGAACTAAATTAGTAATCAACTGTATTTATGTTAGTTACTAGCACACGCAACTGTAATTGAATTTATGAAAGACGCAAATGTTGGCGTACTGCGATTCTTGAAAAATATACTTCTACAGTCATTTGTTACCTGTCAAATAGTAAATGACAAATTTACAACTAATTGATTGAGAAATTGAAAATGAACGGAAAATGTACAGGGTGTCCCATTAATAATGGTCACAGGCCATATCTATGGAACCGTTAATTGCACGCAGCTTCGGGGAAAAAATTTTGTTAACAAAAGGGGCCAAGAGAAATCGCTGGAAATTATTTTCAAGTTTCTAACTTCGCCGCTAGAGGGCGTACGATTCATGGTTAAGTAGACAAATGAATTTTTTCCTAAAATATACCCAACAAACATGCATAAAAAATACATGCATAGTAATCTTGTATCAATTTTGCATCATTTTGATGGAGCGTAAATTGCTCTAGCTCATAAAATATGAGGAGTGGGGGAAGAGGAATATCTCTTTAAGGAATTGATTGTAACTTCGGATTAAGTTAACAGATTTTCACATAATAGGTCTTGTTGGAAAGAGCTCTCTTCGTGGAATCAGATTTTACACGAATATAGTCTTTTTAGTAAACGTAATGAGTGGTAGAGGGCGCGATGTGACATTAACATAAACTTTGCAAGTTTTTTTGAAAATTTCAAATGGAACGATATAATTATTATATTATATTATCAAATAAGATGAAAAAGTGAGAATATCAGTGAAACCGCATTTTGATATCTGTTTTCTAAGCAGAGATATGGGGAAAATACGAACATTCACAAATTTTAATTGCAATATTTATATTCATCCAAGTTGGATTTGAAACAAATGAACGCATAGCAACCGATTATTGTCAAAGTGAATGAGGCGATGGCAGGTCAAAATTAACACTCAATCTAAGTTTTTTAATTATGAGCAACAAAATAATGATTCAAACTTTAAATCAGAGAAATATGAATTAAGTAAATAATAAAAGAAATAATAATTATAATTAACGAAATGTTCAATGTCTGCCATTATTTTCGACACAAAGACGAGTCTCTGCTGTGTAGCGAGAACAGTTGCTTTAACTTCAGCCATGACTATGAATTACATTTCTAATTCTCGTCACCATATCGTTTCTTGTAGTTGGCCTTGTTAGAAAGACTGTGCGTCTTTTATCCCTTCAAACAAATTTAAGTCTAAGCAAGTTAAGTCGAGTGACCTAGCTGGTCATGAAAAAATACTTCCTTTTTCTATCCATTTGCCAGGATAACTCAAATTCAAACACTCTCGCCTCGACTCCCGCTTACCAAGAAATGTGCCGGGCATCCATCGTGGTGATAATTCGCACGAATACGTTTAATGAAAGGACTGATAAACTTTCTTTTGTTCTGTTTTCTTTTGTTTCAAAGCCAACTTGAATGAGCATCAATATTGCAATTAAAATTTGTGAATGTATTCGTATTTTCGCCAGATCTATGGTTAGAAAACAGATATCAAAATCCGGTTTTCACTGATATTCTCACTATTTCACCTTATTTGATAATATCATATAATAATAATATCATTCCATTTGAAATTATCAAAAAAACCTGCAAAGTTTATGTTAATGTCACATCGCGCCCTCTCATCACATTTACTAAAAAGACTCTATTTAATAAAATCTGATTCCGCGAAGAGAGCTCCTTCCAACAAGACCTATTTTGTGAAAATCTGTTAACCTAATCCGAAGTTACAATCAATTCCTTAAAGAGATGTTCCCCTTCCCCCACTCCTCATATTTTATGAGCTAGAGCAATTTGTGCTCCATCAAAATGATGCAAAATTGATACAAGATTACTATGCATGTATTTTTTATGCATGTTTGTTGGGTATATTTTAGGAAAAAAGTCATTTTTCTACCTAACCATGAATCATACGCCCTCTAGCGGCGAAATTAGAAACTTGAAAATAATTTCCAGCGATTTCTCTTGGCCTCTTTTGTTGATAAGTTTTTTTTCCCGAAGCTGTGCAATTAACGGTTCCATAGATATAGCCTGTGACCATTATTAATGGGACACCCTGTACAGCATGTTGTACTTTTATGGGGAAAACTACGTGTCGTTTTTTGCCTACACATGGTTTATGCTTATATTTTGCCCAATTTATACTAATTTATACTTGTCATTTTAGTATGAAAAAAAAATTAGTTTGGGGAGGGAGGGATAAGCGTTCTCCTCATTTAAATTTTCGAAATATTTCTAAAACCAAAAAAGCACCAACCGTGAGCATAAATGCACAATTGAGCACAATTAAGGCACAGTAGATACAAAAAAATTTACTTCATTTTTGGGAACATGTGGATGAGGGGGGGGGGCTAAGTGAACGGGACCCTAGTTTTTTCAGATTGAAGAAACTTGATCGACCAAAATTCAAAAATTATCTACGCACGGAATGATATTTACCCTGGTGTCATCTAAAATTATTTTTTAATTACATTCATAGTTTTTTTATCAAAATTTAAAGTTGTGGTGAACTAAACTCAATAACAGACTAAAGTAAACGTGTTTATTCTTTCGTGCTTAGGTACTATGCCCAATAATAATAATAGCGCAATATTGATTTCTAATTTCTCCTTGAATTTAACCAATTTACTTTGTTGAATGTTAGTAATTTGTAAGTGTCTCCGTTTTGAAAATAGTATTTAAGTATCGCCTTTCGATTAATCTATAGCGAGTAAAAAATAGGCGCAGCAAAAGAAAATTAGCTTTTTTGTATAAAGAACATTGCCATACGTACCTAGACAAGTTTCAAAAGTACCTGAAACTCAAAATTTCGCTATGCCGGCCTAAAAAGGGTGCCTTATTTTCGAACTTTGATAAACTCGAATTATTTCTTACCTTAACGTGCAGAAATATACTTTGAAACTCGTAATTTTGAATCATTTAAAACTTAAAACAGATACAAAGCGCGCTGTTTATACGAACAAAACAAGGAGTAACTACCAAGGAAGTTAATAGAGTAGACCACTTTACGGTAATTATCATATAAAACATTAATAGCTGAAACAATTTTTAAACGGAAGAAAATATGATGCTTTCGACTTGGCTTAATTTCGAAAACTCACCCAAATTTCTTAAAATTTACAGAAACGAAATCGATTATTTCACTAGCACACCTTTCTATATACACGAACTTACCTGGACGAGATTCACAGACTAATAAAAGTCGATAGAATTGTATTAAAAGGTTTACCCGTTTATAATCACGCTACCGGTTTCGTTACTGATATTGATTTTACAACCCCCGACGTCCTTAATCAATAAAAGGTATACCCTACGCCTCTGCGTAGCTTCCTCGACACTGGCCGCTCAATCTGTAAAAGCCGAGGGCGCCACACCACCGTTCTTTTTCATTTTGTTTATTTAGAAAAGCCGGCAAAAAAACGATTTGCTTACTACTTCTTTAGCGTACGAAGTAGTGAAGGATACTAATTTCAATTTAGAATCAAAAATTAATGTTGAACATGTGTCGCATAGTAAAAAAACTCCCCTCGTCAGTCTAAGAACAAAGCGTGCAAGGCTAAAAATAAATAATTATTTTATGCTTGTATGCCCTTTGTTAATGAGAGAACAACACGAATGGAATAATGTTATTAATGTAAATCTACTTCAAAAGGATCAATTGATTATTTGAATAAAAATTATTACCTATCTATATATGGTTTTATTACTCGATCATCCCGAGCATCTTTAATTTTTGCTTCAAAAACAAATCATCCAGATAGGGAAATGAACAAGGACACTGGACAGTTTTCGACCATTTTTTTACGTTCACTTTGGGCAAAAGTAGCAAAATTGCCTTCAATAAGCACACGGTGTGCTCAGGCAAAATAGTGAATATTGGGGTTATTTACAAGCAAAATGGAACAAGCTAAAAAAGTAATCGTAAACGACTTACAAAAAGCGGATTTCCACTTGCATTCATTTCCCATTTGTTACTTTTGTTAAAATCGAGGTTAAAATCGTAAAAATCCGGTCACAATATGAAAGATAGCGTTGCATAGGTGCAATCCATTTTTGACGTGTACTTTAATTTCAGTTTATAAGAAAAAAAATTTCATTTCAATGCTTTCATAAATAAGAAAGTTGGCACTGCGCATGCGCAACCCTAAATTTTGAAACTAACGTTAGATTTACCTTTGTTCCAAGTGGTTATGTATCAAATTTGATTTAAATGCTTCCATAAATAAAAAAGTTGGCACTGAGCATGCGCAAAAACAAATTTTGAAACTGGCATTAGACAAAGTTATCGTTCACACAGACAGATAGATGGACAGACCGACAAAGGAACAGAGGGACAGACCAACAGACAGACGACAGACAGCAGTACAAAATTATAAACGATCTCTAGGATCGTTAATAAACGGAAAAAGTGTAAAATTATGGAACATGGTTTTATGGTTTTTTTACAATAACTTTTTTAGCAATAAACCCAGAAAAAAATTCCTCCCTTGGTGCAAGCCTCGACACCATAACGAACCAAATAGCGAAAAAAGTGGAACAATAGCTCTTAAGATAAAGAACTAGTAGCGTCTCAACGGATGGACGGACGGACAAAGTGGTCACAAGAGCGCATTTCTTTTTATTTTTGTGGAAATTTTTGGTTTTTACTTTTTAGTAAATTCGAAAACAAAGGGCGCCCTCTACCGCCGAAACCGTAAATCTTTTATTAGAATTTTTTTCCGTTTTTGCAATGTCCGTGCCAAAACACATAAGATGACGGCGAAAAAGCGACGATTTTTGACAATTTTTTTTTCGATTTTTTCGAAGGAAGGGGATAGTATGGAAATTTTTTCGTTTTTAATTTTTTCGCATAACTTTCGAAGTAGGGCTCGTATTTCGACGAAACCTTTTGTAACGTGTCCTTTGAGGTAAAATGCAACGTCCGACGTGTCGATCGCTCAAATCGGGGACGTTTTTGATTTTTCGAGTTGCGCACTCGGGAATGTCGATTAAGCGATAAATTTTTGGAAAATTTCGATTCGCCGCCTCGCCTCGCGTGTTTGCTCGATTCGTCGTCGATTCTGGAACGCACACCGATCGATACGGAAGAGATCGACATCGAAAACCGCATCGTTCTGGCCCTCGGCGTTCCCGAAAAACCTTTAAAATTGGAAATTTGTCGACGAAAAGGGATGGAGGAGAGAGGGCGGAAGTGTCGGACGTAAAGTAGAAGAGTACCGATACGTAAAAAACCGCATCGTTCTAACCCTCGCGGTTTTCGAACAAAGTACGTTTAAAGGTTTGGGGGGGGGGGGGGTTAACGGATTGGTGCCGGGGTACGTAACGGACGTCGAAGAAAAGATTCCGATCGAAGACTTTTCAAAAACTTACCCTCTCCGAACGAAAAAAGACACTTCGCTCTGCTTCGGCGGCTGCGCGTAATTTGAATAGGCGCCACTTAGTATACAGTAAATGTCGAGAGAGAAGAAGGAAATACGTACCAAAAAGGAGAAACAAGGCAGACTAAGAGATCCTTTTTCTGGTCTGCAGAGCTAAAAGGGAATAAAATACTTGATACATTTTTTTCGGGAGCGATTTTCTGGGAGCGAATTTTCCGCACAGCATTTTGAATAGTTCGCAATCCATCTTGGAAGTCTAGTATTTGTTTATATATTATTATTATCCCTCTCTTGTTTTTGGGCCCTCAACAGGCATGCGCCCAATTACAGAGTGACCCGCATAATGCTATTTAGAGGTGCCTCTGCAGAAGGTCTTAAGTTGGTCTATACTACTCCTGTATTTACCTTACGAATTAGGAAAACTGCAGGAAAACCTAATTCGGAGTAGCCGGTAGAATGCTCGGAACTGGTCTAAGGTAATTTCCATCTCCGTTTCACCTCAACCCAGGTTCGAACACCCGACCTCCGGATTTATAACCCAATGCTCTACCACTGAGCCATAAATCCGATTTAATACATACAGGGTGGCCCACTGAAAACAGTCAATGCCAAATTTGCCCACTTAATGACAGTTTTACCAGAAACGCTCGAACATGTCAATTTTACTTTTGAGTGGGGCACATAAATTAAGTAATACTATTTACATAACTTTAACCCTGAGAAGGGGGTGAATTGCACCCCCAAAAATGGGAAGGGGTAGTAAATGTTAGATAGGTCGAAAGGAATGTTCATTATGTTTTCGGAACTATTTTTATTTTTCAAATCCGATCAGAAGTTCCAGAGAAAACTCGATTTAAATGGATTTGCAGAGCCGTTTTAAATGTTTGTTGTAGGCGTTGAAGTTGAAATAATTGAAAGCTTATGTCAGAAAAGAACATCTGACAGTAGTGCAATAAGTGCATCGTTTTAAATCACGTAATTAAATGTATTACAGTCTTCAAAACGAAAGGAGATAAGCGAGGTGTATGTATCATGGTCCTGTTCCACCCACCCGGTATACCGGGAGATCAAAAATGAGTTGCTGTCGAGTCACCTTTGGAAGTTTAAGTTAAGTACGATTTCCCATGTAAACAAAAATTCCAAAGGTCACTCGACAGCAACTCATTTTTGATCACGTGATACAAGCCCCCCCATGCTTTGTAGGTCAAATAAAAAGACGTAGTTAATACATCCAGTAGTAGTTCTGCTTACTCCGTCCGAATTTGATAAACAAACGACCTACTTTTAGTTCAAACTTCAACTACCTTGTTCTTTATTGTTCATAGAAAATACTTCTCATAAAATGCTTAAATTCAATTTAATCGTTGCGGCCACCGAGAAGCTCGGTATAGGAAAAAATGGCACGTTTCCTTGGCCAAGTCTAAAGTGGGGTAACTATTTTTCTTAACCTCATTTATTATGGCGGGAAGTTTCTAGGAAGGAAATGGCTCACTTTACCAAACTGACAAAGGGCACAGCTCAATTGAATTCCAAAAAAAATATTGTCATAATGGGCAGAAAGACGTGGGAGAGTATACCGGCAAAGTTTCGGCCTTTGCCGAATCGTATTAATTTCGTTTTATCTACCTCAAAGTTAGACTCTGAAAAGGCACCGGATGTGTACGGGTTCAACTCTTGGGACGAATTGTACGATAAGCTAAATGATGAGAAGTTTAAGGAGGAATATGAACAAATTTGGATTATTGGTGGAGGTGGTATTTATAAGGTGAGAGTAAGTTGTGTTGAAGGAGAATCTGTTTCTTTTTCATTTGGGCTTATTATGTTTTTTCCCTTTCATTCGTCTGGAACTGTTTGTCTAAGTAGGTATTTGCAAAATCCAGAAAATATCTGGACATGTCCCAGTGATTTCTGTTAGTCTAGTTGAGTCACCCTTGACTATGTGACTGCTAACCCATGAGAACTACTGCATCATTAGGGTGTCATAATAATTTTCACCTAATTTTTCTGCTCTTCAGTGAAACAAATGATCTCTCACTAATTATTTATTATCTCCGTTCCTTTCAGCATGCTTTGAAATCAAAATATTTCTATCGATTGTATTTAACAGACATAAAACAGGAATTCGACTGTGACGTTTTCTTTCCAACTTTTAGTAACTTAATGGAAGTGAGGTATGTGTTAATAATAAGCGGGTGTAATTTTTGAAACTCTTGACTTTAGCGATCCTGAAGTACCTGCAGGGATCCACGAAGAAAGTGGAGTACAATACGAGTTTAAAGTGTACCAAAACGAATTATTTGAAGAATGCGCATAAATAAACTTTCAGAATTCTCTGTCTCTTTAATATTCCTTAAAAAAACCAACAATCAGTATATACTAACTTTATTCCTCAATTGTAATAAGTAAAATATCACATAAAAATAAATATTCTTCAATTATCCTAAATTAGATACTATATACAGCAGATGTGCTCCATCTGGACTCGTGTAACAACTTGCCAAAATTGCTAAAATTCAAGGATATGTGGCAATCCTTTTGGAAAAAAAAATGCAAAAAATCGGATCAAGCCCTCTCATCTTCCTCCTCCGAATCGTCTAGCTATAAAGCTTGAACCGACTGAGGAAGCTGATGCTTTCTGCACTGTATGCTAATTTGTCGGGTGTTTAAAGTCGTCGCCTGATTCGTCCAATCGCCGATCGGATACCCGGCCCGATAGAACTTCGATGTGGTCTTGTTGAAGATCGGCAATAGTTCGTTCGCTTCATTTGACAAGGCCTGTTACGACAGTGAATTAGATTCATTGAACAGAAGCAAAAGAATTTACCTTCATGTATATAACCGCGTCCGTCCCGTAGCCTTCACACGACATAATTACCAGATCACCGTGAAAATAACGGGCGTACAGACGCGATATGGGCAGTCCATAGCCGTAACCTGCCAGCGGCACGGTGTGGGCGTCCGACTTGCTGGGTTGCGGTGCTGTGGAATACATGTACTTGAAGAGCTGATCGTGTAAAGACCGCGGTATGCCACCTCCTCTATCGGATAACTGAAAATTGATTTAGCTTAATATTTATCTAACCATAATTGGTAATTACACCATTGTTTATTTATTAATTAGTTATTTCACCGCCGCGACAGTTAGTACTTTGGGTCAAGTACAGAGGGCGTGTTTGGTAAATTGTGGCTAAAGTCACTAAATATAGAAAGTACCGCAATCCATTGGGCTCGTGTGTTAGAGAGAGAACGCATGATTTTTGCCCAAAAATGGCGGAAGTTACCAGATTCTAGTAACTTAAATGTTAGGGATTGTTCCACCTGTTTGGAGATATCTGTATATATTTTTATAAAACATGACAGTACTATGAAGTTAGGTTATAAAAAATGACAGCTATTCAGATTTTATTTGTCAATTTTTTTAAGTTGGCAGTAAATTTGCCCAAAAATGGCGGATGATTGCGGTACTTTCTATATCTAGTGACTTTAATTGTGGCTTTAAATAATCCTTATTTTAGTTTTACAATTTACTGACGACAAACGGGGGCGTAATCGTTGCAATAATATTGTGGTATATAGGCTGATGGCTGATTGAGATAATGAAGCGTATCATTTTACCATCACCACAAAAAATGTACAGTCATTGACAAAAGTAATGATATGCGATCATTACTTTTGTCAATAATCGTACCATTTAGGCATCCAAATTTGCCGTTTGTTAATAAATTGTTGTTGTCAAATTGGGAAAAAAATCTATAATTATTTCAATATTGCATATTTTACTACTGTAACTTTGTACCAAGATAATATCACAGATATACACAAACATCATTTGTGATGGCAAAACCTTAGTAGCGAATACCTCGAAAACGAAGTGTAGGTAGAGGATACTCATAAAGCGCAAGTGAAAGGTCTGGGAGAGACACATCTACATGTCAAAACTTTCAGTACAAATATCTACCGAACGGAGTTGCGCAGGAGGGTACTTTCAAAGGGCGATTGTAACGTCTAGACCAAACATTTAATGACGACGTGAAAAGTTAAGTGTGAATATCTCAAAAATCGAGTGTCTGAGGGAGGCAGCTTGATTAATTCATAATTAAGCAATACGAATCTTTATCTTTAACAGGAATTTTAAAATCGAAATAACGAACTTGTAGTACTTCCAGGACTTTTAGTTGCTCTATATTGCTAATATTTATAAAGGTCATGCCCATAGTTCACGATGAAATACACACACTAACAGAATTAATTATATTAACATATCTGAAAGGATCCTTCGGCTGATTCTCTTATAATTGACCTATATTTTAATTTTATCACTTCATTTAAAGTGTTTCAAAGAAAGTTCTACTGGTTTAGATTCGTTTTGACAGACCGCAGTACATTCCTGCTGTAATACCCGTTCGCGATTCCGTGGCCAATCGGTGCCGAGTAGTGCCATTTATGCGCTCGCACGTAAGCGAATCGGAAATTAAGGGTCTCAGTCAATGAAAAAGAAGTAGGTATACCCCGCCACGTCTGGTCTCACACTCAACAACTCCTAGGTATCCAGGTTTAGTGACCGGAAAACATAAAATGGCATACAAAGCCAATAAAATCTGGCCCCTCGCTCCCGCGCCGTCGCTGATGGTTAAAAATTCAATGATAATACTACTGCAAACATGCACAGGGTGTCCCACCAGGAATGGCGGCTATCTACATCTCGAAAAAGAGAATATTTTCAAAATACTAACGCCAATAAGAGGAATCTATGGAACGCCCTGTACATATTTTTTCATTATACAAACAATTTTCGATTTTAAACCTTTTTTGTAGCACCACTCGCCCTGTCAAAAGACTAATTAACACCCTGTATACAGGGTGTTTTTTTGGGAGCTTTAGTTAAACGTTTCTGGGAAAGTAAAATAGGTAGATTTTTGAAAATGTGTACTTAGGAGTTACTCTGAAGACCGAATCGATGTAAAATATTTTCAAAATGGCCGCACTTCCGGAAACACCGGAAGTAGATAGTAACTTCGTTATTTTAAATGGCAACCCCTATTTTTTATTTCATTTTTGGATTCTACGTAAAATTTCAGTTCTTTTGATACCCACATATCCATATCTGCCATTTATGGTTTTTAAGTTAGTTTGACTTTAAGAAAAAAAAATGGCGGATGCAGATGGTACCTTGATAATTGATTACTTGAAAACGGTTATAGTCATGGCAACCCATTTTTATCATTGCATAGAGAATGAATGGGGCTTTCTTTTAGTGTACTTAAAAAAAATTAAGTTGTGTACAACCGCACCTATGGAGATCCAAATTTAAGAAACTTAAAAATGTCCAAAAACTCAGTTTTTTTAAATGGAATGACCATGTTCTTCCTATTGCATGAGATAGAGAATCGAAATTGACATATTTTGATCTTTAACATTTTCTGATTTAGTCCTATTTCATTGAATTGATGCCATTTTTTTGCATTTTCATTTTAGTAGTTGGCCATGATTTTATAACAATCGAATTTTAAGCAAATCAAGAAAAGGATTCTTTAATACCATTGATTCTAGTCTAAATAAGTCATTTATTAAGGATATAGGACGGAAAATTTTTGAGAAATCTAGACAGAGTCGTTCAACTGAATTTCTTAAACAATGTATAAGTCTAAAAATTCAGAGAGGTAATGCGATATCTGTTCTAGCAACAATTCCATACAAAAAATGTTTATATTGTACATTGAATTTATTTTGTTAATCTTGCATTTGCAATTCAATTCATTTTCTGAAATAATCTCTTGTAGAGCTTTGTATCATTTGTGCTTCAACGGTATGTAGTGCATTTGGGGATACAATATTTCCAAAATTCATACAATTTCGTTCCAGTGTTCGAATGAATGTACAGCAAGCACCTGCCGCGATTCTGTCCATTTCACCATAAATAACAATTAAATTCAAAAATAGCTGAAACCACTGCGAGTCATTTTTTGATTTTTGAAAAACTTATGTTAACCGAATTAGTGTCACTAGAAATGTTTAAAATTCAATTGTTATAAAATCAGGCCGACTACTAAAAAGAAAATTGGAAAAAAGTAGTGTCAATTCAATAAAATGGGAATAAGTAAAAAAAAATGGTGATTCCATTAAAAAAAACTGAGTTTTTAGTCTTTGAAGTTTCATAAATTTGGATCTCCATAGGGGCGGTCTTACGTAACTTAACTTTTTTTTAAGTACACTAAAAGAAAGCTGTATTCATTCTATATGCACTGATAAAAATAGGTTGCCATGACTACAACCGTTTTCAAGTAATTTCATTATCAAGCTACCATCTGCATCCGCCATTTTTTTTCTTAAAGTCAAAGTAACTTAAAAACCATAAATGGCAGATATCGACATATGGGTATTCAAAGAACTGAAATTTCACGTAGACTCCAAAAACCCAATAAAAAATTGGGGTTGCTATTTAAAATAACGAAGTTACTATCTACTTCCGGTGTTTCCGGAAGTGTGGCCATTTTTACATCGATTCGGCCTTCAGCGTAACTCCTAAGTACAAATTTTCAAAAACCTACCTATTTTACTTTCCCAAAAAACACCCTGTATATCGAGCAAGTTTTTTTTTAAAGAATGATTAGGTTTTACCCTGAAAAATCACCATGTTCACCCTGCAGATGAACTGGCACTTACTTTTAAACACACATCTTCATTTCCCTTGCTGATCGTAAGATGAATAGGCGGATACTGTTGTTCTTGCCCATGATATTCCATAACTGCTCGCATCGAATTTTTGAACAGCTCGAATAACATGTGATACAAATGGGAGGGAACGTAGACAATTCTTATATCAGACTCCGGCTTTAATTCTACAATAAAATCGTTGTAGTTAGATACGACCGACTGTGTCATTTACCGTTTATCTCATGCTGCTCGATGACCAACTCCGGCGAGTCGAGATAGTATTGATCACATAAAAATCTCGCGTTTTCGTACGCGTCTTTAATTACACTAACTAGATTACAATGGGGATCTATGCATCCTATATACTTGCTCTGGGTAGGGCCGGGTGCTCGTTCCAATTGTCCCCCGAACAACAACGCTAGAAAAGCGCAATAAAAAATTTGATAAATCGCAATGTAACTTACTGTGTTGGTTGATGAGCATACGAATCGATATTCTGGACATATAAAATCGGTCCAGAAAATACTGGATACTGTGCTCGGTCTGTTGATCGACGTCGTGCGATTCCTTTAACTCGATGACGCCCTGCGCCATCGTTTCGACAACGTCCGAATGTCGGTTGCGTATTTTCACTATGCTGTCGCAAAAGTGCCGTAGGTTCCGCGGCGAGACCTCGTCCATCTTTTCAAACTCCAAGATTTCCTTAAAACTTGTCATGTACCATTCGTGTACCGCATGTACGGATGGCATCCTTAGAAGGTTTTCCGGAAGAAGCGCTATCTCTTTCATTATGTTCGCGAGACGTACCGGCAGTTCCTTGCGTAGGAAAATGTAGGATTTCGTTTCGCACGCATTTAATCCTGAAACAAAAGAAGATACTTAGTACTATCTTTCCTTTTTGTAAAGCGCCATCTGATGACAATGATAATAACATCTCTATTAGACAGTAAAAAGCTTCTTTTTGTCTGCCCATCTGTCCATATTTGCGCGATAACGCGTTTTTCAAATTATTTTTTTCGTCACCCGCTAGCTTCAGTCCGCCGCTTGCATAAGTAGAAGAACAAAATCAAAAAAACCAGCAACATTCCTTTCATCACTCTATTTTGATATGTGGCTAGAATATGTTGAAGGCCTCAAGATGTGGATTTAAAATCACACACACACGATGTGATGATCCCCTTTTAAATTTATAATTCAGAAGACAATAATAGTAAACAACAGGGGCGGACTGGCCCGGGGGGCGATTGCCACCTGGCCTGTACGTCATAATGAGCCGTTGGAAATTTATAAGTACCTATGTGCTGTATTTAGTTTCTTGCACTATTAATAAATTATTAACACGTTTCTCTAATTGGGGTTGATGTTAGGTTGTTAAAAAATTCTGTTTTAATTGAAGCTAGTGTTTTGCAATGAATTTATCATTTTTTGTCGTAGTATTTTGAAAGTGCTGAAATACAATGATAGGCGACGCACCTCGTGTGGATTGTATATTTTGTTACTTTTAATTATCAGCTGCAATTTAAAAAAAAACTGTATTGTAATTGATTTCCGAAAAAGGAGTACCTTAAAATGAAGCAAAAAATGTTTTTGTGGTGCACCGCAGAGCTACCCCCCCGCCACCTTCATTACTACACTAATACTTTAATGGCCCGTAACCTATGCAATTCCACCTGGCCCGCCCCTGACTAGAAACCAATTTCGAAAGAAAATTCAAAGGGCTGTAACTTTTGAACTAGTGGCCCAATCTTGGAACTGTTTGAAATTATGGATTCTACAGGCCACATTCTATAAGAAATTTTTTTTCCGGATCGATCTGAGACAATTTTTTTTTCGGGGCTCAAAAAAAGGCAGTGTAATACCTTCCTTTTTCACCAAAAATCGACTGCACCAAAATTTCTCGGGAAAACACTTTTTCTTATTAATTTTGGTGCGTAAAATCCAAAACAATTCGTACTTTTTCGATCAGACTTCTCAATCAAAAGTTATAGACTAGAAACCAATTTCGAAAGAAAATTGAAAGGGCTGTAACTTTTGAACTAGTAGCCCAATCTTGGAACTGTTTGAAGTTATGGATTCTACAGGCCACATTCTATAAGAAAATTTTTTTTCCGGGTCAATCTGAGACAATTTTTTTTTCGGGGCTCAAAAAAAGGCAGTGTATAACCTTCCTTTTTTCACCAAAATTTCTTGCGAAAACACTTTTTCTTATTAATTTTGGGGCGTACAATCCAAAACAATTCGTCCTTTTTCGATCGGACGTCTCAATCAAAGCAATTTATATGCATAAATATGATTCAATAATGCAAATTTATGAACATCTGATTAGGTAACTAATTCTGGTGACTAAACCATTCCCAGTTCTACGTAACAATAACAGTATATTATTCGCATTAATTAGTACTTCCACATACGGAAAATTAGTATATACTTAACAACGGTGTAAATAATTGTTTATATGTTTGTTTTTCTCAGAAATGTTTTGTTTGTCACTACAGTGCAATTATTTACAATTGTATAACGTCAGTCTAATTGACTTTCCATATTTTTTTTGTTTAATATATTGAGGTGCCCAAATTAGCAAAAATAATTAAGAAAAAAAAAAGTTTTGATGGTCGTTTTCACAGCACTCGAACATTTCATTGCATGAGAATTAATTGTTAGTCCATTTCTTGTATCAACCATTTGTTTTGCAATGTCTCATTATTTCGGTTATTAAATTTGCTTATATTATCATGTGTGGGAGTAATCACTACATTTCCGTATAGCAAATTACGAAACTCATACAATCTCTTGTTCTTTAACCTAATTTGATAAAAATCCACGGCGTACTTGCAGGTTTTGTTTGCGTAATAGTCTCTTCGGAGAGAAGTGCATACAATAAAAGTTATGAATTAATACAATAGAAAACACATGTCAACTTACGCTCTTTTTCCGGCAACTTCTGTGCATTTTTGCAAATTAAAATCTTTTTTTTTCAAAGTGATTTTCTGGTTTTTTGGTCGTACGTGAGTATTGTTGATAATTTTATTATTCAACGCCCATTAAATAATGAATCTTTTGGAACAAACCTCAGGAATCTCAAGAACTTATTATGCATCCTAAGAATCTTCTTGGAGAACGTGAAGACGTTAATCAACGTTAAAAAATTACTAGGAATAATCTTTTAGCGAATCTTTTATTGGGAACGTTTCCAGAAACAGAGCGTCTCTTTAGAAACCCTTTTTTGAATTCTCTCAGCAATCGTTTGCGGTGTCTTCCTGGATATTGCGCTCTTTTTTACCTTCTTTCTTCTTCTCAAATTTCGTGAAGTACTTTTAGAACAAATTCAAAAAGTGTAAGACTTTTTCGTAGAGCTCATCAAGACACATTTTCTTTCGCTATGGTGCTTACTTTTCGCAAATTTAAAAAACTTACAAAAAAACTGTAATGCGAGATCCGCTGATATCCAAGGATATTCAGAGGATGTCCGATGGATGTACACACTAAATGTATGTGTGGTAAACAAAATTTCACCTGCGATTTCCTCCCTCGGAAACAGTTTTAAAAAAGTAATGAATCAACGAAACGCAAATCCACTGGGTTTAACGATATCGGTACTATCTTGGCAAGATAAATAATTCGATTGCCTTTTTTTAAAAAATTCCTGATAAGCAACAGATTCTGCGATCTTCTGGTTACGTGGAAGATTAGCAAATTTGGGTGACCGCGCAGTTATCACCCCACCTAGCATCGGATCGATGATTCATATCATTTTTGGGAGATTACTGCAGCTCCTTTAGCACTCATGAGTGGCGATTTCCGAGAAATGCATATCAACCACTTTAGAAATATTAGTCTAATTAAAGGTGAGATTGATTACAATGCGAATAATGACATAAGATATCGTAAGAAAATGACTCCACTGAGTGAACTTCTACGGACAAATGAAGAAAAATTATGGAACTGTTGGGGACGTAGTTCCCAGAGAAGCTTCTGGAATTCTTGGTTTAATTAACAGTCTTAAAATCTTGATGCATTTCTTTAATCTATTCAAATTTTGATAGAGCCATCGGTTTTTGAATTTTTTCAAAAATAAGTATATTCCTTTAGTAAATATTTTCCTTTTATTATAAAGCAAGCGAGAAGGAATTCATGTCAAACTCTGCGCAGTTTTGGACATGCGAAAACTTAAAAACTTTTTCTCTCCAACCATTCAAAATGAAGAGTTTTTTTTTTGGAAAACGAGAACTGAAACGAAAATTGTCACATTTTTATCCCATTTTTCAACAAAGTTGGATGCGCACTTGACGCCAGAAAAATCTTTGCGATTAATGTGCGCATGCGATCGCAATTTCAACTTTCATAATTTAAAGATTAAAAAAATCGCCGAGGTTAAAAAATAAAAAAACACAATATATAAAAAGAAACCAAAGTTTCTTGGAAAAGTAGACCAAAAATGTGAAAACAAAAACAAAAGATGAAATTGTTGGTTTCAACAGGCTGGTGCACCTGCGCACAACGTCCAAACTATCGACTATCGGACAAATTTTCCATTTTCCAGAAAATGGTGTCGAAGCTTGCACCAAAAAACAAACTTTTCCTGTACTACTTACGAAAAATGTTATATCCAAAAATCTATTTTTTTCATTGTTCACAATTTTAACTTTTGTCGGTTATTGTGGCTATAAATTATACGCTTGTTACGGTGTTGTGCGCCGGTGCACCATCCTGTTGAAACCAACAGTACCCAATTTTTCGAAATTTTCTGGTTTTATTTAAAGCATGATAAACGCAACTTTTCTCTAATTTAACCCATCGTTATCTTGGACACAGTGTATACAGGGTATAGAAACAATAGAGATTTCAATGCTAATTTCTTTATCGAAATATTTTCTCCCATAATTCATTTAGACTTTAGAGCAAAGTCGCAAATAGGTTTCTTGTAGTTTGAGAATTTTTCCCGTCTGCTCATGTCCTCATCTATTATTTATCAATTGGGGAAACGGAAAAAATTAAATAAATTAGAATTCAGTATTTGTGTAAATCGAATTTTTGTTTCAATAATTTCACGGCTGATACTGATGTTAATTTATAATTTCCTTAATTTCTCCGATTTCCCACAACAAAAAATTACAAATGGACACATGAATAAAATTTTACAATCTACAAAAAATGTATTTACCATTTTGTTGTAAAATAATTATGGTGCTGCACCCAGTAAATATGTAAAGAATTTTTTAAATGTTAACCTCAGATGCTTCTTGTAAAGGCAAACCCATCGCATATATTAAAAAAAAACAAATTAACAAATGCATTTATGCCCCCCCCCCCCTCCTAAATAAATTATACTTCTGGATAGGCGAAACTACAAATTTTCCACTGATATAAACAAAACCACACATTCTGTAACAAAATTTAATAGAAAATACAAGTCGAAACGCCAATTTGTAAAAAAAACCTTTTCCGAACCCAAATCTGCCATGGTGCACAAAAGATGTTCAATTGTTTTCTATGGAATGTGTGGTTTTGTTTATATCAGTGGAAATGTTGTAGTCTCGGCTATCCAGAAGTATAATTTATTTAGGAGGGTGCCATTTTCAAATTTTAAAAACTATGAGATTTGGCAAAGGTCGATCAAACATTCTATTTTTTCGATCCTAAAAAAATTTATGTGACAGTGAAAGAGGTCCTAATCTGTACCTCAATTCAAAACCCCGGCGCGATTTAGTTTCTCTAAAAAAATTCGAAAAACTGTCAAATTTTAATGAAAAAAGGAACATGTTACATAAAAAATTAAATACTTTTCATGTACTTTCTAAATCTGTTATAAAATATGGGGTATTCCATTAAAAAAACTGCGATCAAAAATATTTTGGAAATA